CAATCACAATCCCTCGTTGTCCACTTGGCTCGTAGTCGTTCTGATTTATGAAATAACCATAAAGCAGGTCTTAATTTCAGAGGCCAGTAATCTGTTCTGCTGATCATGGAGGAGAGTGGAAAAAAGAAACATACCCAGTTCCTGAAAGGAAAATTCTCCCAAGATGAGATCACTTGGTGCGCATGAATTGGGGGAATTAGCTTTTACTGAAATTGTCATTCTCGTATCTTGCCAAAGTATTGCAACATCTGAATGAAAGTGGTTTGACATCCTTGTTTTAGAGTACAACCACAACTATTTTAACATTTCTACTTGACAGTGTGCTTAATATTTCAGGAAAATGTGGATATTGACCATAGGTACAAATCAGTAATCCTATGGTAGATGTTCGTTTAACTCAAATGAAAACTTAGACATTCTGAGTTAGAATAATTTATGTATGAACAAGGGCTCTGCTCATGAAAACTATGCCCAAATGAAGTCTGCATATGCGGAGAACACACTCCACTCAAATGGTGAGAATTTACCCAGCATGGTTGCCAATACCCATTTTAGTAGTAAAGTCTCTGAGAAATTCCTAATTGCCAAAAATGGATTTGTTTGCTTTTAGCTTGCTTGGCCATCACTCAGACCTGTCAACCACCCCTTTCCCCTTAGCCTGCCCTGAAACACAGTCTCCTGGGCTGCACCAGTGCATCGTTTTTCCTCTTATCACTTGAGAGGGGTCCTCCCCAGGGATGCCCTGAACCCCCGTTCTTCCCATTCTTCTTGCTTCCCGCAGAGCTTTTATCCAAGCTGCTGGTTTTAACTACATCTGTGTGTTGACGGATCTCAACCTGTGTCCCCCTCCTGCATGACCGTCCTCAGCTCCAGGCCCATGGCATCTGACTCCCTCCCAGCCGTCTCTTCTTTCATATTTCAGTATCGTGCCCCTTTGATCCCCATCTTCAACCCATTCCCCACCAGCTTTCAGAGTAACCTTCCTAAAACATGTCTGATGGTGTTAGGGCAACCAGAGAAAGAAGCCCCATCTGACAGCTACTAGTCTGTTACCAAGAAAAGTTCAGCAAATTTGGAAATGTGGCACTTACTTAAAAAAAAGTAACATTGCATTTAAAAAAGAAAAACACTGAACTTTTTAGGACTTTGCCATGAGATGGTCAAGGAACCTCCGTGCCACAAAAGATTTCAGGGACACTGTCGCTGCAAAGCAGTGGGAAGAATCTTGTGGATCATAATGGGACCTTTAAAGTCACTTAACTGCTTGCACAAACCACCACGTGTCCCCCTTCATTTGTTGAAAGTGAAAGAACAAGTGAGGGGCCACCTCCTTCAAGACCCCTCCCTGTACTTTCCCTTTGTGACAGCTGCCCGACTGACACACTGGGACTGATCGAGAATGCCTGTGTCTGTCCAGATGTTAAATACTGGTGAAACTTACTTTCCAAGCTGTGTGGGCAAGATAAGTAGGAACTGAGTGTTTGCTGGTTTCTTTTCCTGCAGCTGCAGCTCTAAACTCTGTAGGCAGGGGCTTTATTTTTAAATCCTCGGCGACCTCAGTGTCTATACCAAGTGGCACTGGGGAGATGGCAGGTGAGTGAGTGCTCACTAAGGAAGCCTGGGTCGCTATCACTTCAGAGCCTGTCTGTGCTGGAGAAAGCACCTGTTGTTGATTTTTTAAAGTGCTGTTCTTCATTTCGAACTTAATTTTCTGAACTGTGCTGATAACATTGGAAGGATATAGAAATAGGTTTCATAGTCCCAGGTCATATCAACCACGATTTTTCAAAAATATCACTCAACCTTTTTTTTTTTTTTAACCCATCCCAGGTTTTAGTTTACAGTGTATACAGTTCTCATACCTGAGGTTCTCAAATGTACGCTTTTGAAACATCGACAGCAGAAGGCAAATCCATATAGCCAAGGAGGGTGAGGCTGTACTCTCTATAGTTAAAATTTTTAAATGCATTTTGTTCGCTAATTGCAAAATTATGATGTTCCTTATAACTTCGCAAATCACATCTTTCCTCCCTCTCCATGTTCCCACACTTGCCCCCTCCCTTAAAAATCAATGCGTTGGAAGAAAAACATATTTCATGTTATCTACACTGTACACTTCTCTCACAGGCTCCCATATGCTCCGTGTTAAATGCTTGCATATCTGCGTCTTGCTATTGTTTTGACATTTCGTCTAATGCCTGGGGAGTGGGCGTTCTCTTTAAGCTGTTTCTACTCAATTCTCAGCAGAGAACACAGTATTTGGTTATGAGGTAAAGTTTCAAGCCAGGCTCTGGCCAGGGTCTTTCCCACTTGGGAGGAGGAAAGTAGAGCTGTCAGGGAGATGATAATTCTCCTTGAATTTTAGCTCATTAAAATCTTCCCCAGTCCTCAGTGGGCTATTTATTGATTTAAGCATCTAGCACTTTTTCCTTCCAGAAAGAATTAGCAGCTATGATGTGATCAGTGCTAAGGGAGGAGACTTTTGTTCCTTTCTCTGGTGGGATAGACTGTCCCCCGGCTGCCTATTAGCACAGCCCACTCCAGAGTTGCCTTTGGGTCCGGAGTCGAGGGGTGGAAATGGGATTGCGGAGATTTATAGGTAATGAAAAGAACAGGTTGCATCAAAGACACCACGTTGTAGGAAACTGAGTGTTCTCAGGGGACTTGTGTGAACCTGTGATCCTTGGCTTTTTCCGAAATGAGCATTTCAGCCTTATACATATTAACTTTTTATAGATGTTTTCATGTGTTCTGTTTTTGCTGCTCTTGTGCATGAAAATAGAGAAAAATGGCCTTTCTTATCTTCGGGTCATTCTCAACAGCCTTGGACATTTGTGTTTCTCCTGAGCCTTACTGTAGTTGAATGCCTGTACCACAGGTACAGGTGAGTAAAGAAATGTGCTTTCTTATTCAGATGTGTAAAGTCCTCTTTCCATAAGAACACTTTTTCCCCCAAATATAACATCACCCAGAAGTCCACCTGCCTTTCAGGTCTGTCTGTAGAGAATGTGAGTGGCATTAACACACTAGATTGTTGGTAATACTGGCTTTAAGCATCTTAATTCAGTTTTGCATTGTAGTGGCCATAAGAAGAGAATGATTGCTTTAGTAGGGACTTGTCTTTTTAATGTAGTTCATACAGTTGATTCTCTGAGGCTCCATTTCAGTGAATTTGCTCTTCTCCCTGTGCATATATAAAGTATGGGACTGAACAGCAGCAGCAAGTGCTGTTTGGCTCATTAGTGGTGCTCAGTGAATGCTAATCCACTTTGTCCTATGTGCATGAGCAAATTGATCAGATGTTTCTGGGATGTTTCTCAGCCTTATCGGCTCTTTGAAAGGATAGGCACTTGAATTGTTATCATGCTCCACCTCTGTTGGGAACTTGGAGCTACCCTGGATGTTGGCCATTTTGTTCATAGACCAAGGAGGACTGTCATGGGTTTGCTTCCCCTCACTGCCATCTCTGGTCCCAAGAGGCCTGAGAGACCTTAGCTGAGAGTCTCTTGCCAGACAGTATCGCAGACTCTCAGGCAGGGGAGCTGGCTTAATCCTCCCCGAAATCTTCAACGATGAGCTTATCTGAGCTGAAACGTGGAGCACGTTTGTTTTCCGGTGGTTGAGGGGTGGTAGTGGCAGGGCATCGAAGTCTGTGGAAAGGATAATGGAGGAAGGGCCGTCGGTGTTGGAAAGTAAAGGGCAGGAGGCTTCCCTCTCTTAGTACCTCATAGAGGGTTCCAGGACTAGTGTATTAGGACAAACAGGACATATAATAGAGACACTTGCAATCTCTGAGCCTCAGTTTCCTGGTCTACTAAATCGGTATTGTAGCACCACCCTCTCATATTTGAGACAGTGAGAGATTGACAGCACCGAGTGGACATATGAAGGTGCAGCCACTTCCCCTCAAGGCTGTAAGATTCCTTCTCACCTCTGTCCCTCCTCATATGGATCTAGTTTCAGATCATCAGTTACTTCGTTGGTCCCAGGACAGGTGGACAGGTGGGCATTCTTTGGTTTAGCTCAGAGCCACATGCTTACCCTACCTCCAGACGTGACCTTCCTGCCAGACACATTCCTCCAGCACTGTGTTGTCAAACTCCGAACAGAACAGACATGAGTGTGTTTTGTAGTAGTGGATGCATTCTTTCCTTTTCCTAAAAAAAAAAAAAGAAAAAGCACAGTTTTTTAGGAGACTAACCAGGGCCTCAAGGAAAATGAGATTCTTTCTTGAGCTCTTGAAAATCCTTGCATAGATCTAGTAAAAGTTCCATATGGCTCTAATTTTGGTTGTGCAATTGTACAGACCCCTGTGCTGGTCACATCTTCAAGGGGCCTCAGTACATCAACTCCCATGTTCCTCCTAGGCCGCTGTGTGAGTCAGGATGCACCCACCCTGGTGTGCCTTCCCATCTCTGCCTTCCACTGGTGGTTTTTTTTGCCCCCCCCCCCCTTTCTTTATGTTGCAATGAGTGGTGGAAACATGTAAATGAGCCCTAGCTGGTTTGCTCAGTGGTTATAGCACCAACCTGGGAACTGAAGGGTCCCAGGTTTGATTCTGACCAAGGGCATATACCTCGGTTGAAGACTTGATCCCCAGCCCCAGCTCATGCAGGAGGCAACCAATCTATGTGTCTCTCTCACATTGGTGTTTCTCTCTCTTCCACTCTTTTTGAAAACCAATGGAAAAAATATCCTCAGGTGAGGTTTAAAAAAAAACACATGTAAATGACAATAGTACAGGTAGCCCTTATGCTGAGTGACTGCCCTGAGGAAGGTTTTAAAGTTTCCTTTTCTTTCTAGGATATGATAGTCACATTCTGTTAACACTAACATTAGCTGTGTTGGTAAGTCAGCCCATGATTCTGTCCCTTTTGTCAGTGTGGAGTGACAGTCTGGAGCTGCGATTATCTATTGTCTTCAAATCATTTGATGTTGATCGTTAGTCGTGTGTTTATGCAATAGATTAAACCATACGTGGTGTTTCTCTCTCTTTCCAGCTACAAGAGGCTGACATTGTGGTGTTAGGCTCACCCAAGCCAGAAGAAATTCCCCTTTCTTGGATACAGCCAGGAACTATTGTTCTCAACTGTTCCCATGACTTACTCTCAGGTAAATGTGTTGAAGTAGGTGCTGGGCTTCTGATAAAAATAGTTGTGATTATTACAAGACATGTTACACTTATTCAAAAGGGTATGTTCCTGAAATGTTGGTCATTGTCAAATATGCGCACACCGGAGAGGAAACAGTGGGTGTGCCCACCTTTTGGGGTACTGATACGGCAGCCACATTGTCCAGGAAAGAGAAGCCAAGAAACCAAGTGCAGTGGCCGCCTCCCCCCTCTTCTCTCCTCCCCCCTCCCCCCTTCTCCCATGGCCACCTCCAGTATCAAGCAGTAAAGTCAGTTGTGGCCTAAAGTGGATAACTTGCTCATGTTTGAGGTCAGCTATAAATACTGTTTTCTGCAGACTTTTAAAAAGCACCAGAATCCTTACTCCCAAAGAAATCTCAGCTAAACCTCAGCATAGATGAAAACTGTGGCCAGGAGTGGAGACCAGCCCTCATGACTTGATTTCCCCTTGTAGCGAACCCCCCAAAGGCACTTGAGAATGGCGCGAAAGTCTACATTAGAAACAGAGGCAGTGTTAGCGTTGTTGCTGATATTTGATGGTATTTTGCCCAGGGAACCAGGAATGCCCTGGACCACAGCAGGCCCACCCTTAGGGTGGCTCAAGCTGTTCCAGCACCAGGGCACCCAGCCAGGTACCATAGGAGCAGACCCACAGGAGGTACCCTTCTCTCACTCACAGAAAGATGCTCTGAGGCCAGGGAAGCTCTGGACCACACTCAGCCCTCCTCCTCAAGTCTCTGAGTAACATGTAGATGCAAAAGATACTGGCAAATGGAGGCAAAGGAACCCTCCTTCCTCGGTACCTTTGGCTCCAGACTTTAGCATGAAGTGGAGGGCTGTCCTGAGCAGGCTGGCGGACAGTGTTGTTTTTCCCCAAAGCTGGTCAGAACTTGGGGCCAAAGTGTGTGGGGGCCTCTGCCCTCTTCCACCTGCCAGTACCACTGGGAAACCTTAGAGAACAGTATCCAGAAGAAAATGAAGATAATTTCTGATCCAGTCACCTCGAGAGAACCGTTTCACTTTTTGTTTTGCATTTAAAATAAAGCATTCAGCTTTCTTTTATGGGATATTATAGAAGAAAAAGGAAAGGTGCTTTTATTTAAACTTAAGAACAAAAGAATTTTTAATAAACTTGTGATTGAATGAAGGTAGGGTTTTAAAATGAAATTTTTATACCCATCTTAATGGTACAAGGTTTCCCTATCCTCTCCCCCCTGTAAAAATATATGGGATATGCTGATTTACGATGAGGTAATTCTCTAGAGGCATTTTATTGAATACCTGATCTCTGGGGAGGTTTGTCTGTTCCCTGATACCCCAGAAGCAGTGCTCAGGAAACAGTCATACCTAACTTGTTGGATCTGTTCGCTCTTCTATGGCAAAAATCGTTTAGATTTAAAACAGAGACATGGCAATCTTCCGTTTTCTAGCTATAAGGATAACTAGGTTTTTTTATTATTAAAACAATTATTTCAAATGAAAGAAGTGGGCTGTGATTTTATAATGCTTTGCTTGCTAAAGCAAGACCATTTGTACCCCAAAATGAGGACTGACTTCCTGATGTACCAATGAGATAAAGGAGATACGGGTCTTATGTCTTGGGCCCAGAGAACAGTATTGAAACAGCAACTTCAGTTGTATTTAGTGTGGAGTAGGGCAGAACCCTGGGCTGCACCCCAGGGCTCATGGTAGTGAGCTTAGGGATCCTGGGGGACTGTGAGCCTTCGCTCTTAGGGATCTGAAGGACATATAATATAGAACATAGAATTTGGGGTCAGCATTGATCTGATTCAGACATGAGAGGGTTTTCTGGCTTGTTTGCTCTAACTCTTAATTGCATGGTATGTATAGGCTGCGTGACTTTGAGCAAATAACCTAAGCTCTGAGTTCTTGTCCTGGGGGAAAGAAGGGAGCAAGGCTGTTGGGAGGAGTTAACGAGACGCCCACCTCGGGTGCCAGGCCTCTTCCACAGCAGCTGCCAGTAAGTGTTGGTCCACTCCCTCGCCCCACTTCCTTGCTGCTACACCGGCACACAGTAACTTTCAGACTCCTCTTAGCAGAACGAAAGTTCGTACCTGAGAAATCAAGCCCGAGGAAGGAAGAGGGCCAATGAGATTCTGAGAAAGAAAAGGCAGCTCTAGAGAAATTAGGCATTTGTGTAATTTAATCATTGCCCTATTAGAGTTGGAATATTTGCTTATGACTTTTGAACTTTAATTATTCTAAAATCTGTTATATCTATTACCCATTTTCCTAATCATTATTACTGTTTTTATTTTATTTTTAATTCTAGATGTTTTGGACCTTTCCCTGGGCTATATCATGTTATTGGCAGTTTTTTTATTTCAAATTTTAATTCTCAATACAATATACTTAATGTTTTTTACTTTTTTTTTAAAGGCTCAGCCATTTAGAATAAGCAAGTCTGTATTAATTTTTATATAAGTTAATACTAATTTTTAAATTATGTTCCTTTGAGGATTCTTACATTGTATTCTTTATAAAAATAGCAATAGATTGTCATTTGATAGTGTACTTCAGGTGTTTTAAGTTACAAGTGAGAAAATCTTGAGCATTGTCACAAAAATTGTACTGAAACTTTATCTATTGCACTTTACTGTTAATGTATTTAAATTACTGTATTAAGTTAATATTTAACTTAAAAACTAATGTTTTTTTTAACGTTTTATCTGTACTAACTTGTAATTTTTAGCTCTTTCTATTTTCAAACCTCCCCATAAATTTTTTTGGTAACTTGTGCTCCTGGGAGAGGGAGAAAATGTTTAGAATTCAGTCTGTGGGTTCGTACAGCACATATTTGATAAGAAGAGTGCCCTCAGCCAGATTGCAAAAGAAGCTGAACCATTTCCATATAACAGAGATGGCAGGGAGACTGCAGAATTCGCCATGGCCCCTCCCACTTCATTTATTCTAGAAAAACTCCCAGGGTGGTCTCGAAGCTGCTCCTGTCAGAAAGGGCCTGTTCTGATTTCCAGGGGAAGTTGTAACACTTTAGCCTTAAGTTTTCTTATTGTGGAAAGTTTCTTATTATAATAAAAATTACAAATGAAAGGCTGCTTTTTTAAAGTGATTCATTGACCTGTCCCTGGAGGATCCCTGAGTTAATGGGGAATATTTAGTGGGAAGTGAAAAGACCCATTTGGTTTGGGATGGGACCCTGGCTGGACTCACAGGCCAAGTGTAACCAGCCCTCCAGATGGGGCCTGCCCTCCACACTGGCAGGGGGTGAGATAATGATTTCCTTTCTCCATTTTCTTCAGCCATGAACTATTAAGGATGTATTCCTAATTCAGCAAGTTACCATCTTAATTGCTTTGAATTCTCTGGATTCATAATTTGTAATATAGTTTTAGGATGCATTGATCTTACTACAAAAGCAATACAGTGTTTGTGTTAGAAAATGTGTGAAGTCACCTTGAGATAACCATCTTGGCAGTTTTCCATTAAAAAAGCATTATACTTAATTTTATTGGATAGAATATAGTAGAAGGAAAAGAAAACAATATGGTATAAAGCATTACTGAAATTTAACTTTCTTCTGAAAAAAATGCTGGGTCCTACGAGATTCTTCTAAGATTTAAAATGTACGTGCGTGTGTGTTTCGTGTTGTGTTTTAAACTCTTGTATTTTAGCCACATTCTATTGTGTGAAAGGCAGGTTGAGGTTATAGGCGGAATTACTCACTGTGTAATTCTAGAGGCAAATATTCTTCATTCACATGGGTATTTGTGATTCTATTTCGGGAATATGCATTTCTAGTGGATACCAGTTCCTAGAATGTAGCATTTTCCTGTTTCCATCATTGAAGGACAGAGATAAGAATGAGGGAAGCACGTTTCTTTTCCATGGTGGTTGGACCTTCAGAACAGATCTCTAGTTACTCAAACAAAACAAAACAAATCTCTCTCATTCTCGAGACTCTTGGCTTTTGCCTGAGCATGATTTATAAGACTGAATTGTTGCTAATCTTTAAACAATACCTAAGGGGTATGATTTTCCAACACCCTGAACACATTTGACAACAGAACATCACAGGACAATTACCCCGAAGTGTTTGGTGCTCTCTCTTGTAAAGGACTGCCAGCAAAATGGATAATTTCAAAGTGAAGGGGACAAAAAGAGGGGGAGAATTTCTAAATTCAAAAGAGTTGCTATAAGGACTGTTTCTTTTCTCTCAGGGAAGATGTAGACTAAAGCATTTTACATGTGTGTTTGCTTTTTATGAACTTCCAAATGCCAGCTAGAGGAGGGAAAAGGAGAATTCTTAAAAGTGTCTCTCTATTCTGAAAACCAGGTAATCCCTCAAAATAATATTCCAGAATTTCTCAGTTTTGATGAGAAATTGGTCACATCGCTTTGATGACAGGGTTTTTTTAAAACCAGCAAAGAAGGCCTAGTCTTTCACATAACACCCTGGCTGGGCTTATCCTATAGGTAGGTGTTCACTCCCCCTTCTTATACTTCAGGTTCATGCATGAGTGAAATTGCTTTTATTTTATGCATATTGCTTAAAGATACATACCATATGGCAAGCACTTTGCATAGCATATCACACTTGATTCTCACAGAATTCTCTGAGGTTGATATGACCTCCATCAATTAACAGGCTCGGAATCACAGTGGCTAGTAAGAGATAGAGGCCAGGTTTTAATCTAGCCCAGCTCTGAATTCTGAGGCCCAATGGAGAAACCCAAGGTGGTGCCAGGGACAGGCGACCTACCCGTGGCTGTGTCTGCTGTGACATCTTGACTTACTTGGGTGACAACGAGGTCATTCAGTGTGCCAACCTTTCACAGGGAGCGCTTGGCTATAGGCTATGACATGCTGAAAGTCTTTGCTTCCCCCACACTTTTCCCAGGGAAGCTTGGCTGCGGATCCCCAGGTGTACCCTTCAGTGGTCCCATCGCGGAAAATGATGTGAGCCTCCTTGCTGCAGCTCTGCGGATCCAGGTGTGTGTGACACAGCTACTTGGGAATTTTTGAGTTTGGAGCTTTGATTAATTCTGACTAATATTTTACAAGTTTTTTTTGTTTAGCAGATGCAGCGTTAAACACTTTGCACATGTGTGTCATTTAATTCCTCACAATAGTCCTATCAGGTAATGGTCTTCCCCACTTGATAGATGAGGAAATGGAGTCTTAGAAAAATTAAGGTACTTGCCTTTGATCATATGACAAGTATGAGGCAGGGACTCAAATCCCAGGGTTTGTTATTATCTATTGCTGTGTAATAAGTGCTCCCTGATATTTAGCAACTTAAGACAACAAACGTTTATTATCTCACAGTTTCTGTGGGTCAGAGTTTCTCATGCAGTGACGTCTGCTGGGGCCACAGTCATCCGAAGGCTTGAGTGGGGCTGGAAGATCTACTTCCAGCATGGCGCACTCACCTGGCTATTGGCGTGTTGGTATTTAATTCCACAGTGGCTCTTGGCAGGGTGCTGTGTTCCCCATCATGTAGACTTCTCTGTATGGCTGTTCACAATGTGGCAGCTAACTTCTCCCATAGTAAGTGATCTGCAGAAAAACACAAGGAGGAAGCTGCAGCAGGCCTTATGACCCAGTCTCCAAAGTCACTAATTTCCTCTTCACTAGAAGTGAGCCACCAATCTAGTTCACATTCAAGAGGAAGGGAATTGGCTTACCCCTTGAAGACGGGAGTGTTAAAGAATTTGTAGACATCCTTTTGAACCACCACCATCTGTGTGACCTAAAGCCTAAGATCTCCAGGTGTCCATTGTGCACGCGTCTTGTGCTGGCGCTGGAGCCTGCGGTGATGTGGATGGCCAGCAGGGCACAAGCTACCTGTGGAGACACCCAAGCCTCACGTTCCTGCCATAGTAGAATTAAACAGAAGCAAGTTTTTGTTCATTTCAGTACACAGTTAAAAATGTTTACTTTGAAATTGGATGTAAAGATTGTTATGTTTCAACCAAAGCCAAATGTTATTTGTGTGTGTGTGTGTTACTATTTAATAATTCAATTTGCCTACTCGATTATATCAGCTGTGGAAGAATTATACTTGAATGGTGTTGCAAATTTTGGAAGCTAGGCATCCAGCCTGATTATTCATGCATTCTCACATTTTCCTCATTTTTCATTTTTAATGGAGATGAAAAACCCACTCTAGAATTTTATTCTGCGTAGTTGATGCCTTAGTGAACTATTTTATATTAATAGCATATATATCTTCCATTTTCCTCTTCAAGAAAAACCTACAAATTTAATTACATGAGAATACAATTATACCTGATCATCACTTGAGTCATTGTGCAACTTCATAATCTTTTCATGGCATGACATCCCTGAGCAATATTTTCAGATACATGGCTGTCAGCGTTTACTTTTCTAACATGTTTTTCTTTCTGCCCCCACTGAAGAACATGGTGAGCAGTGGAAGAAGATGGCTTCGCGAACAGCAGTACACGAGGTGGAGACTTCACTGCTTGAAACTTCAGCCACTCTCCCCAGTACCCAGGTATCCGGGGATTTGTTTTTACTGATGTCAGCTCATCAAAGTGCCTTAGATATCCAGAATGACCCATTGAGTGGGGGCACGACTTGTGGTATTATGGTTTTGCTGGTAAATAATTTAATCAAATTGCTGTGCCATTTTTTTCTATCATTTAAGTATTCCCAAATTAAATAATAACAGGTTTACCATAACCTATCATTTCTAATATATGTATTTTTTTATTTCTGAAATCGATATGTAACCTTACTGTCACTGATGTATCCTGTATTAAATGGCAGTGATTTTTTCTTAGTAGTCTATAAAATAATGGTGTCTTAGATTTGACTAAATACAGTAGTGGAATGATTGGAATATGCTTTTTAGTGTTAGAAATACCCAGGATGTGCCATCTTGGTTTTGAGGGCCTTGTAGGCTTCCACCCTGGGGGTGAGTGGGAAACCCAAAGCAAAGAGCAGCAGTACACGTGGAGAGTGTGCTCAGCGGCCTTCAGAACGCGATAGTATGTACTGTCTGGCAGGATGCTCTGGGACTGTCCAGACAGATGTTTTCTTCAGAGTGAGATCTAATGAAGCATAAGCTACATATCCTTTCGAATAAATTGGAAAATACAAGTTGAAGAACAGAGTCTCAACATTTTTGGCATAATTAGATATCTGAGCCAGAGAAGGGCTTTCTCCAGCCTCATAATGAACCCTCTGTGGTGGCCCCACCTCTGAGTTGTCCCCTCCCCTTTCATCGGAGGTAGAAACAACGTCAGCGCTTCCCCAGGTGATCCCATTGCCACTGTTGGGAAACTGTCAGTAGTAGTTGACTAAGTTTTCGCTTGGTGACCAGTTGCATTTCAGAATTGACCTGTGTCCCCTTGCACGTTCACTGAACACTGTGGTTTGATTATACCCACGAGGCCTGTGAGACCCTCCAAGCCAGGCTTTCACCCCTGAAAGAGACTAAACATCTTAGTCATCTCCAATGTTCATTAATACATAAATCCCAAGGAATGTTGTTTTTCACAGTATTATCCCTGTAGCTCTGTAATCTGTTTCATAAAATAACTTTTCAAGTTACTTACATCATTATAGGATCTTAATTTTTAAAAGTAAATGAGTAAATTCTGCTTACAGAGAACAAAAATATTTGAGATGGACTCTACCAAATTGTGTGCCACAACCTTTTCATAATCAAAATAAATTCTACTTGGGGGGAAATGTGCTTTACTTGCTTAACCAAATTTGACTTCTAGCACCACTGGAGAAAGAAAGGCAGGCTAAGTAGTTTATAAATCACTCAAAAAATCAAAATGATGTCACTGTCACTCTTAGCTAGTGAAGAGGGAAAACTTTGGAGATTTTCCAAGAGAGGAAAATCTCTTCGATTAGGAGATTGTGGCGAGAGAGAGAGAGAGAGAGAGAGAGAAGGGGGTGGCCTGGAAGGTAAAATGAAGCAGGAGCCTGGGCAGTGAAGGGGCATGGGGAGGAAAATCCAGGATACTGGGGGAGGGAGAACCTGGCTGGAGTCACAAAGCTCAGCCCATCTCTGGCCCCAGGTGTCCTCTTCCCCTCTCTGAGCTGCCCTTTGGAGAAGTCGGGATTGGAGGTAGCTTTACTGGTATCTCGTGCACCAGAGTCACACCCCTGTGGGGTCATGGGGAAGAATGGGTTCCTATGGCAGCTGAGAGTAGATCCTCAGCAGTAGCAATAGAAATGAACCAGAGCAGGGAGTAATCTGCTGCCCACTGCACAGACTATCATGCCCCAAAATAAGGGCTCCAGGGCTCTGGAACCTGGCTGCTATCTTCTCAGTCTCTGATGCCTGCTATCCTGCAGGCTGGCTTGTGCCTGCTGGGTCTCACTCTCAAACAGATGGCCAGGAAAACAGATGGAAAGCCTCAAACCCCACTAAAATAATGGCCAAACCCAGGAGCCCCAAAGGCTCTCTGAGAAGTTCAGCAGATGCTCATTTTCATAGCACTCCTGAGAGATGAGCAGTGGCAGTGGCGTTCCCATCTTGCCAGATGAGAAAGTAGAATAAAGTGTTTGCCCAGTTACACTCTGGAGCTCCCAAATTGTCCTGTGTCTGAGGTTGAGCTTCAAACATTGGGTCTGTTAGAGTTATGTAATTAATAAAATATTTTGAAATATGATTTTGGACTTGAAATAGGAAAAAGGGAGGAAAAGTATGGACACAGATAAAACAAAGTTGCATTTCCACTTTTTTGAATAGCCAAAAGACACATGGGGCTAGCCCAGTAATAGAGCACTATGTGGTAACCCATCTATTCATGGTTAACAAATACAGTGATGACCCATAGAAAGTATCGTGCTCCATAATGACCTTATACTTACGGGCACGTAACATACAGCCTCCTCTCTTATGACCTAGGTGTTCTCCTTGTACCTGGGCAGAATTCTAGGATCTCTACCAGTTCTTAAGAGTCGCTTCTCTAAAACCATTTTCTCACAAACATTAATTGTTAGCAGTCGTGCTCACTACTGCTTGGGACGAAGGACCATGAAGCCGCTGCGTTGATTTCATTGTTGGCGTGGTGTATGGCTGTTTTTCACTCCAGCAGCGACCACCTAAGCTGAGAAGACTCTTGCCTCTTATGTGTTTCCCCCCAGTGATATTGAGATTTCAAGAGCACAGACGCCAAAAGCTGTGGATGTCCTTGCCAAGGAGATAGGATTGCTTGCAGATGAAATTGAAATCTATGGCAAAAGCAAAGCCAAAGTATGCTTGTCCCTGCTGGAAAGGTTAAAGGATCAAGCAGATGGAAAATACGTCTTAGTTGCTGGGTAAGACTACTTTAAAATCTCTTTCACTAAGAAGATATGTTTATCAGACCCTCTTCCCTGTGTATGTCTGTCATCACACTCCTCAGATCCATTCGATTCTCAGATTTGACATTATCTTGTCCATTTCACTTGGCATTCCTTCCGTTGACAAGAGGTAAGTTTTTCTTTTCAGTGCAAAACAAATTCGTGTCCACAAAATACAAAGTGTAATGAGTCACTAATTCAGTACTTTAGTTTTTGTTTCTCATACTGTGTTTTGATCAGCCTTGTTGTCCTCCACCCTGGATTTTTCTTTTAGTTTTTCAAGATAAAAATTAAAAGTTGAAAGTAAAATATTTTGAACTGAGCAGGGCGTTTTTATATTCAAGTTAGAAATGACATTTTAATGGAAAATGTAGATAATTCCATGAACTTTGATTTTCCTATTCATGTTTTTACTATTTCTTATAGATGTATTTAAATTATAAAAACTCACTGTTTCATTGCATTTCAAAGTTGATGTTGGGCCAAAGACAGATGCACAGTATTTATGAAAGGGAGTGCTTGCTTTATTTTCCCTCTTTTAAAAAAAGAAATGCATTCATTAGCTGAAAAAAACAATAGAAAACAAGGGATTTCAAATATTTATTCAGTGTGACCTGAGGGAACATCAAGAGACCATATAAATTCCTTTGTTGTTTCAAATTTTCATTGCATGGGCTTGCTAATGATCGATAGGCCAAGGCTTGAGGCAAAAAAACCTCTTACCAGGCAGAGACATTTCTTATAATTGGACTTGACTCCTAGTTACCTTTCTTTTTACATATTTAATTATGAATGTAAGTGCTTTATTTCTTTTTCTCATCATATAATTCATGCATACTCATTGTAAAAATATTCCAAAACTACAGAAAGTATAAACAAGAGAATGAAACATCCCAGCTCCTAGAACCCAGAGGAAACAGCTGTTAACATTTGAGACCATCTTGACATAGATAAAGTCATTCGTCAGTGAGATCGCTGACACTGCTCTTCTAGCCGTGACTGATTGTCCCCAGTGTGTTATGCACCTAGCTCTGTGTGAATCAGTGCAGAGTCATGTTACCATTGTTCATGACTGCATACCATTTCACCCTTCGTACCCTGGATTCTTCAGGAGTGGGTGGTAGAAATGCCTGGGTGAGGGTGGGTTCCATTTTCCACGTCTTCCCAGCACAGAAGCACTGCTGTGGCCCAGCCACTGAGAGTACAGATGTGTCTACTGCTTTAAGTCTACAGAGGCAGGAAAATGATTGGAAAACATCATAGAGATGTCCCATAATTCACTTAACCAGTTCTCTGTTGTTGGGCACTTAAATTATTTCCCATTTTTGGCCATTATAAACAGTGCTAAAATTATCAACCTTGGCCCTGGCCGGTGTGGCTCAGTTGGTTGAGCGCCTTCCCATGAAGCGAGAGGTCACTGGCCCAATTCCCTGTCAGGGCACATGCCCAGGTTGCGGGCTCGTGCCCCAGTGGGGGGTATGCAGGAGGCAGCCTATTGAGGGTTCTTACTCATTGATGTTTCCCTTCTCTCCTCCTCTCCTTTCTTCTCGCTCTCTAAAAAAATCAATAAAAATATATAAATTTTTTAAAATTACAAACCTTGGGCATGCATGTTTGTGTACTTGTCCAGTGTCTCCTTAGGAAAGATCCCTAGAGGTGAATTCAGTGTTTCAGAACTACAAAGATAGAACTACCAAAAATCAAGATACTGTGCATAGTATCACCTCTTTTCAGGCTGCCCTGCTCACTTAGAGTTGGACTTCCGACCCTAATGGGGTTCTTACCAGCCTGCGTCTCCCCCAGCCCCACCCTTAATGTCCTGTAACTGAGCTTCAGGAAAGCTTGCTAAAAGATGTTGGTCCCACCTGCAGGCTCCTCGGGGCCAGTTTGTGAAAGGAGCCACCTGACACACATCTAATCAGTGTTGCTTTATGGACAGTGTGCTTAATGCAAGTTTGTTTACAGTGAATATACAAGCTTGGGCATTGAGAACTTCCAAATTCAGCATCTTAGCCACAGATTTGCCTGCCTTCTCCCAGGTCTTGGGTGATCATGGTTGGAGGGTCTGCTGGTTATCTCGCTCTGGTTAGGGCGGGAGGATTTAAGGATCACTGAGGTGGACGTGTTCTCAGTTTTTTTAAGGAGAAATCATGCAGCATTTTTTCATATGGAGTGGCCATGATTTACTCTGCTTTGGGCTTCTGAATATTGGAAATAAAAACACAAGTGTAGACATGGCCCTGCCCTTACCAGGAACACAGAATCGGTGCTTCTAAAACACAAGCTCTGCTGGTATTGTGATCAGGTTGTACACTTGAAGCCCAGCTGTCACAGCCTGGCCTCCGGCCCATGTGCTGAAGAATGGCCACTAGCATGGCCAACTGGGATCACAGGCCCCTCCGGCCTGTGCCCAGGAGAGCACGGCTCTGTGCTAGCGCCGTAATATTCGTATGTGCGATTGAGATGAAGCAGCCAGGCTGCCATGCTGTAGATAGAAATGGAAGGTAAACATGAATCCTCAAGTACAAATTTGACCCCAAGAGATCAGCTCTTTTTCTGAAATTGTGATATAAGTTCCCTTTCTGTACAAATGACCTGCGAAGGAACAGAAATTAAACTATGTCCCTTTCAACTGGGCTGGGAAAGAGCAGAAGCTGCAAGGGTAGGGTTTTGAGATACTTGTGCGTCTGCAGCAGACCGTGAAGGTTTTTTGGAAAGATGTACCCGCACTGTGTTCTATAAGGCGGGAACCACCTTCCCCCATCAACGCAGCCAGCGATACGTAAGTGTGTATAAAGTGCCTTTGTTATCTATCTTTTAGTAGCTGGATACTTGAGATCAGTTTAAAACAGACATTTTATTTATAATCTAAAATGAAAAGTTCATTTGAAATAAAAATCACCTCCATATTTTTACTTTTGATCAGTTATGGGAGAGGGACGGTACAAACCATCCTACACTTCCAGAAATACCAGTGATTTCTCCGTTAAGTGGAGACTTTTTCTGAAAGGTCTTTTTATTCTGTAAAAAACTGTTGGTTCGTTGTATAAAAACTTAACATAAAGAAGAGGAAAAAGAAGGAAAAAGTGAACTCTCTCATTACTCAGAAGTGTTAAAAGTCTTTCTGTCTCCCCCCAGGGTTTTATCTGCATTCGCCCATCCTATACATCAAGAGCGGGCCATAAATACAACTCGTGTCCTGCCTTCTTGTCTGAATACCGTGACATAAAGCCTTTCCCATGCTTTAGAGTTCATGCCGTCATTTCTTAATAAACCTAAATAGCAGTATATTTGTTACTGTATGTTTCAATTTCTGTGTAAATGCGATTTAAGTAGATCAGCAGCAGGATGACTGTCTGAAACAGTGGATTCCCATTTTTTCCTACTATTAATAACCCAAATGCAGAACAGATTAATTCGCTTTAAAAAGCTGTTCTTCAAACCGTAGAATTTCTTACTCTGTCAGAATCATCTGTATTTCATCAGCTACACATCGCTTGGTATTTACACCTACACATCACTTTATTTGCTTTGCCTGACAAAATGAAAAGTATTGGGAATTGTTCAGGGAAATATGCCAAAAGAATCCTAGGGGCTCTTGAGTTTTACATATTTTCCCAGTTACACTAATGAAAAGGAATTTGTTTGAGAACTTGACTCGGAGTGCAGCTGTAGGGCATTGAGTGTGTGTGTAGGAGCAGGCCCCATCGGCCCTTGACCGATTTCTGTGCAGAAGTTTCTAGAACTTCTGTAAGTTGCTTGCACAGAGCAGTTAAAAGAGAAGTTAAATCGCTCTGTGAAGAGACTGAATTTCACATTAAAGAAAAGTTGGAATTATTCACGTCACTTTTTTCCCCCGTATAGTGCCAAATACCTGATTTTATTTTTCTATTTTTATTTTTTACTGTTTCAAACCCTTGTTTTGGTCTGTTTAAAAATAACCTTTATTGACTTTTCTAAGATGATGCATTTCCACCTTAGGTAAGGATTTAAATATCTGTGAGTGTTTCTTTTATCTGAGTTACTTTCACAATGGAACAAAGGTGTTTAGAAGAAACCACTACTGATAGGACCTCTGAACGCTTTACCTCGGTCACGTGATGGAAACGCAACCTAATGAACAGACTGTGGAGTTTATCCTTAGATGGTAAAAGACAATTTTAGTAAAACCTTCCATGTCACACAGATGCCTGGGATGAGCGATACATACTCATGTGCTGTTTGAGTGTATAGTTTTGGAGTTTATGGGTAGATCCATGGCTGATGGCAATAATACTGTTTTAACAGATTCTAGATTTTGAGACCAGTTTAAAGTTTTACCACTACTAAATCTCTTTGATCTTTGAATCAGTGGTAAACTTCTTTCAGATCATGTCCAAGTTGGCACAGAGCACTTCGATAACTTTTTTACTGCAGTTAACAGTAAACATTTGTCTCAGAAAAGGAGTTAAAATTCCTTTGTCAACCATTTTGTGCTCATCTGCACCCTGGACTGGTGACAGGAATGTGATGAGAATGGGCACAATCCTTCCCCTGAGCAAGCTTGTAGCCCGGTAAGCAAGATAGACATGTCAGGAAGCTTACAGTAATGCCCTCTGGAAAGTTCTAGAATAAATACATACTAAATGCTGTGGGATATTAGAGGGAGTGGATCAATCAGCTGGGGGGAGTTGAGGAAAATAATGAACAAAAATCACACTTCTGTCTCCATAAACTCTTAGCTCTTACAGAAAAAGGAATTATGTTGACATAGCGCTTGTTTTCTGCATCAACCTGGTAACTTAGAATCTGAGCTAAGGACATGGGGACAGCAGTTAAACCACATTTTTATGCCATTTGCAGAAATGAGGTGAAATAAGTTTTTATTGTAGCTCTCCTTTTATTGCCCCCAATAAATACTTCCTACTTTCCGATTTTCCTGACTTGTAATCATTGGCAGAAAGCTGAGCAGTCCTGTGTTTCTAATTAAGACTTGGCTGGTGAGCTGAAGTTTGGAGGAGGTCATCTCTGGGAGGGGCTGCTCTTGGCCGTCTCCAGCAGCTAAGTTAGCATATCCTTGGAACTGAAAATGTAATCTTTCGTGTGAAGTTTAAGTAAACCACTGATTCCTTTGCAAACAGTAAGTGCTCAGTTAAAAAGCAAGTTGACTCGAAGCATAAACACCGCCATGTAACTTGGAGTCTTCATGTGGACCGGGTGTCATGTGGCTGGGGCAGTCTGAGGGTCACCTCACCAGGCAGGGCTCAGGTTGGTTCACCCGCTCCCTGCCAGCAACCTCCTTGTTGCTAAGCCCAGCGAACACTTCTTGGCCCTCACCGGGCCTCAGACCTCTTTGGACTCTGGACACTTCCTTGGTTTCTTTCTGGGACTTGCTCCTCAGGGTTTCCTTCCCTGCACCGGCTTAGCTTCCTTTGCTCCCTTCTGAGTCTTCTATAAGGGGAAGACCTTAACAATTTTGTTCTCACCTTTTCTCTTACTCTGTTCACTCTTGCTGACCTTTCTCACCCATTCCCTTGCTTTAAATGGCTGATTATAGTTAACGATTTTCATCCATACAAATAACCTTGTGAGGTCAGAACACTTGCCCGGGTTTCATTTCCAGTTCTAATTGGGAGACCTTGGGCAAGTTACTTAAACACCTTATGCCTCAGTTTCCTCATTTTTCAAATGGAGATGATAATAATTAACCCGGTAAATATAACAGAGCTTAGCATACTAACCACCCTAGTCCCACCCTCAGTTTTGTCTGGCTATATTTATTCATTTGTCAGGTCCCAGTTTAGATTATACTTCCTCCAGGAAGCCTTCCCTGATGTTCCAAATTTACTTAGATCCTCCTTCCCTGATATCTCATAATACAGTCTAATTGCTCTATTTTCCCTATCTTAGTGCTTATCACATTCATTGTAATTGCTGGTTTATCTGTGTGTGTATCATTAATCATTAATCATGAACTCTGTGAGGGCAGTGATGGAATCCAGTTTGGTCATTAGTGTGTCCCCAGGGTCTAGTAGCCTGGCACATAGTAGTACTTAATACATATTTGCTGAAAGAATGATTGATTGCATGGCACTGGTGGTCTGAGATAGTTGGGGATGATGTATCTAAGGATATTACTTCTTTGTGGTCATGTCACTAGATTTTGGGGGTCAGAAAACTCTATCAGTTTAGTTGTGGTTGAGTATCTTAGACAACCTAACTCACGCCATCTGGCTCACAGAAGACAATATTGTAAGCCCAAATGACAGTTTTTAAAACTCATCACAGTGGATAGAATATGCTAAGGAACAATTTTATAAGGCCTTACACGGGAATGTAATACATGTCCTATCACCTAATACTGTAATATCGTTACATCTGAACATGTGATGTTTGGTTTTACAGAGTGTTGCTGCCAATGATAAGCTCCCCAGAGCACAGGTGATCTTCGTGTGCTGAGGAACTTTGGACTTATTTTTTCTAAATATTTGAGGGGCTGTCATATTGAGAGGGATCAGGCTTAGTGTGCCTGACTCCAAGAGATAGGCTACAGCAATGCAGACATCTCTTCCTTAGGGCAAAGAACTTTCTAACTGTAAAAGCTGTCTGGAAATGAAGAGCCACCTTGGAGGCAATGAGCTCCCATTGCTGCTTGTTTTCAAACATGGCGGGGACAACCCTGGGCACTGATGTTTAGAAGCGGATGGATGAGTGAGAGTTGAGCCATGCTTTGCTCAGTCATGGATCATTGAGTTAAGCCATGTGCCCACATAATGTCCCCAGGAAATGGCTCTGGACGAACAAATAACAAATTACCCATCAGCAAGAAAGGACATGAGCTTAATTTTTTAAACCACTTTAATGAATGATTCTATGCGTTTCCTTGAAGTTGATATTATTAGCACCACTGCCAAATAGCTCTTTGGTCTCTTGGTGAAGTTGTGTCTGTATTTTGACATTAACTTAAGCATGGCTTGTGGGACGTAGGTAGACCATAATAGTTCAAGGAAATTGATTAAGTGATTTTGGAATGATATGTTCTCTCCTAATATCCTGATTTGGCTTTGGTGTCTTAAGCTTATTTTATAGGTTATCTAGGAAATATTATTAAATTCACTGTTTTTTTTCCTCCCACATCAGGATTACTCCCACCCCTCTTGGAGAAGGGAAAAGTACAGTTACAATTGGGCTTGTACAGGCCCTGACCGCACACCTGAACATCAACTCCTTTGCCTGCCTGAGGCAGCCTTCTCAAGGGCCAACTTTTGGAGTCAAAGGTACTTTATTTAAACATCTAGTATATTTTTCAGAGCGAAATCGGGGGGTAAGATATTAAAGAAAAGTTTAAAAAGAACATCATCAACAGATGTGGAGTTAAAATTTATCAGAGGAACCAGTGCATTTAATCCATACATGCACCCTCTCCTCCTCGCTCAGTAGGCAGATGTTGCCCCAAGTTGGACCTCCTGCAGAGAGCACTGTAGTGGGGGTTTTAGCGGAACCCCCAACCCAAGAAGCAGATCCCCTTGGTTTCCCTGAACGTGGCTGGGCTCTTGCTCAGGAGTCAACCATAAGCAGAAAAGCCTTGTTTCATCAGAACCTTCTTTGCCAAGCAATTTTGAAACTGCCATTTATATTGGTGTTTTATCATCCCAACAATGGTGAAAGGTATTTCCATTCAAACAGTTAAGAGACCCTTTTGGTCAGACCCCAAGTCTCATCTTTGGAGTTACTGTATGCGGCCTGAGGAACTCTGGAAACTGGCTGTGGACAGAGATGGGATGGAATTTGGCGGTGGTTGGGCTGATATCTGGCACCATCCCATTCACTACTTTCTCCATTGATTTATCATGAAATTACTCTCCAGCTCACTTTACAATAGCATCTGTTGCTTTAATTACTGTTTGTTCTTGGCACTTTGTGGTATTTAACAGTATTATATTTGTATTACTGTTGCCAATATTAATAACTGCTAGTTCATTAAGTACTGATAACTCATAGAATGTCATGCATTATGTAGTGGAATGAACACTAGACTTGGAGCAAGAAGGCTGAGGTTTTGTTCATGGCGCTGTCTCTTACTGCTATGTGACCTTTAGCTAGTTACAGCCTCTCTGAGCTGTAGCCGTAAAAGTGTGAAAAGGCATAAGCCAAGCATACCAGGCTATTATGAGGACCAACTGAGACAGTATAGAAAAAACAGGGCAAACTAAATAATATGGACATAGAAGATACCATTATTGTCTTAACAAAGTTTTTTGATAATTCAGTGCATGTGCACCTTAAATGAAGCCTAGCCACAAAGATCTAATAACAGATTAATACAGTAGTCTCGTGGTGGCTGCAGTGACATTTGCAATATTATTTTTACCCTTTTTTTAAACAAGGAGACTGAAGGTCTTCAATTGCAGAGTGGGACATAGTGTAAGCTTTCCCCTCTCTGTTCTACTTTGATAAACGGCTCATGCTTTTCACTACCTGTTGTTATTTCACCTTGGGGGGAATGTGCCTCCCTCTGGGTATGGGGAGCCGTGTTCCCAGGACTGTTCTCATCTGTGGCTATACTTGGTGACTCATTTTAAACGGTGCCTGCTCTATTGTTTAGGAGGAGCTGCAGGTGGCGGGTATGCCCAGGTCATTCCCATGGAGGAGGTAAGATCTCAGAGGGACACCTGTCATGTGTCACTGCTTTTCCTTCCTGGCATCTCTTTTTCTGTGCTCTCATAAACACAGGCCCCCAGTCCTCAACTCTGGCTCTGAAAACCAAAACCCGGCATTTAGTATTATGAGCTGTTTATGGATTTTGTCTGTGCCACTTGGTGTAAATCTTCATGTGTTTTGCATAGAAATATTGTTTTTGATGAATGTATGTTGACCTAGATAGACCCTGCTTGGGGTATTTTATAAGTAAATTATATATACATCACATTACCTCTCTAAATTCCAAAAAATTCTGAATTCCAAAACCCTTCTGGCCTCAGGGGTCTGGATGAGAGGAAACATCTGTATCACCACCAATCACCAGTTATACTGCCAAATGCAGGAAAACTTGAACTCGTCACTTCTGTTAATAGAGACTCCAAAATCAAATAGGTCCCCCCAGAATGGGTGGAAAGGGCCAACGGTGTCAATCCTTATTTCTCAAGAAACCCTCCACACCCTGATAACCACTCCCTTGTCCCCTGTATCTAACCAGTGACCATGTCTCGTCAGTTCTACTCTCTGTATTGGCTTCTTAGTTCGGGCCCTGAGAAATCTTCCCTAAACCCAAGTCTGGGCAGATTCCGTTCCTGTCCAGTATATTTCAGGAGCAAGGCTGTCTCCTCCTGGGCTGCTGCTCTGCTGTCTCTCCCATCTCACAGTCTCAGGTCCCACATGCAGCCCTCCCTTTCTCCACATTGGCATCCTCCTTGCAGACTCCTGCCTTGTTGTCTCTCGATTCCAAGCCTGGAATGTTCTTCCCTTCCTTTTCTGCCCTCCCTGCCCAGCTTATACTTCTAGGTTCTTTTCCTGCCCACTGATTTCCCTCATACTCTGTTTATCTCCACCTGGTTTCGTCAGCTGTGGTGAGTTAGAGACCTCCAGTCCCAGCACTTAGCCGAGTGCCCAGCACGTAGTTTATGCTCACTAGGAAATACTTGCTGGTTTTGTCAAAGGAGTAGGAAAGATGCTTACCCTTGGAGGCCTATGTGTCAGGGAAACTAAAGTGAAATTTTGGATAATCTTCAAGTATTAGAGCTGGGGGATGAGAAAGAATAGTCCAAGGCATTGCTGAGAAAAATAGCCCCTAATTTTTCAGGGCAAGGTGGATGGGAAGTAATATTCTCCAGCCACGAAGACCCAGAGCCACATGGCCAGGTTGGGGATGGAGTACACAGCCCATGCCCAGGAGAACCGCTTAGGATTTAGCCAATAGATACTGAAGGGCATTGGTTTCTATCTCTCATATGACCTCAGCTGCATGACTTGGAGTTGGGCCAAACTTACGGCACAGGACAGTTGGGACTATCTTATGATAGTTGAGTAGGTCAGACAGCAAGGCAGTTCGGTCCTTGAGTTCCAGGACCTTCCGTATCTTTCTCTCTCTATCCCCAGCTTTGAACACAGTGCTTTACATTCAGAAGATATTTGCAGACTAAGAGCATGAACAGGCAGTGCATACTGGACAAAACTTAATTAAACGATCATGGGAAAATGTTAGAAAAGAATTCCAAATGGATTGATGAATTGAACTGAAAATACTAAGACTTGAAGGGCAAGAAGGAGCCAGCCTTGTGTAGGCGGTGGGAACTGCGGGTGTGAAAGCTCTGAGGCAGGCGAGGGTTTGGTCTGTTCAGGGACCGAGAGGACAACAGCATACGCCAGCAGGCCCTCAGGGAGCAGAGGGGCACGGAGAAGAGTGGGCAGGGGCCGGTTCTCTCCTACTATCGAAGTTCAGAGCCAAGAGGCTGGGCATGATTTGAAGTATCCTGGTCGGCCATTACAGGGATCTTGACAGGGTACTCTAGTTTCTGTACCAGGAGTAGATTGATGGGGGTCCCAAGGGCACCTTGTAGTCTAGTGAGGGGACTGGGCAAGTAGCCCAGGAAAGGATGGCGATGGCTTAGCCCAGGATGTGGCAGTGAGGATGGGAAAAAGGATGACAGTGACCTAAGACATGTGTACTGGTGTTTGAAGAATTAGGTGTGGAGGTGAGAGGGAGGATCCGAGGATGATAGGCACACAGAATCACTTACTGAAATGGAGACCAGGGCACAACAGGCGGGCTGGGGCTGGGGCTGGGGCAGTGAAGGGGAGGGTGGTTGGCAGAAGAGTCCTCTTGGGGGCCTGTACACATTCACCTGGATATCAAATAGGCAGCTGGAAAGAAAAACTCGCATCTCAGTTCTCACATGGGCAAAGGATTCAGTAGCTGCATCAGGAAAGAAATAGTAACTAACCAATGAATGCGGACTGAGAGCATGAACAGATGATGTGTACTGGATGAAATTTAATGAAATGATCACGGGAAAATGTTAGAAAAGAATTCCAAATGGATTGATGGACTGAAGTGAAAATGCTAGTTTATTTTCACTAATAATCAAATTTGCCTACATTAAAACTACTATCAGTTATCATTTTATTTGCCAAATCCACAGAGTGGGATTTACCAATCAAGAGCCTTAAAAATATTCATACCCTTTGGCTCAAATTTTTAGTTTATCCTAAAGAAAAAATTGTTTGCATGCAAAGATTTTAGTTTAGAAATTGTTTGTCTTCACTAAACAGAGGGAAAAACTTAGATGTCTAATAGCAGAATATCAAAGTAACTATATTTTGAAGACTATTTAATGATGTAAAAATGCTAGTAATATTAACATTAAATGTAAAAGCTAAGGTATAAACTATTACAGTGTTATATTCTCAATATTTTAAATTATAAATATTATAAAATATATGTATATTTTTAATAATCGTATATTTTGTTATAAAATAAGACTTTAACCACAAAATATAAATGTTTAACCTTCCAAGAAATGAAAAACATGTGACTTAAGACAGAACACCACTTTGTCAAACAAATTAACTTATATTCTTAGCCCAAAGGTACTTTGTTTCTGAAGTAACTGGTCTGGTAGTATTTTTCGGGTGGTACTTCAACTCTTTCAAGAAGCAATGTGGTGATATTATCAAGATCCTTTAACCCAATAACCACACTGCTGGAAACATATTGCTTATTAGCAATTGATTGTTTTAAAAAAAGAAGCTGTTTGCATGTATTTTTTTTATAACTGTATACTTCTTTGCAAAAGTGAAAATTTGGTAGCCACTAAATTACCAGACATAGGAAACTGAACAATTTTGGTATGTCTGCTTAATTTTACAGCCCCTACAAATTGTAACTATACATAAACAAGATTATTACATAATGTTTCTTTAAAAAGCAGGTACCAAATTATAAGTATGCCAGTGTTACACCTAATGGTCATTAACACTAGAAGGAAAATAGCAGAATTAATAGTTATGAGAATGATATATTTTTTGTTTCTCAGACTTTGTCATATTTTATATTACTCTATTATAACTTTATTTCATGCCCTTCCTCATTCCAAAGTATATTTGATACGATATCATTTTCTAACTCATTAAACAATTCATACAAATGAAAATAAGGAAACCAGTCACAAAGTCCATCAGAATATTTCACCATTAACCTGAGAAAGAAAGAATTGGCAACAGAAATTCTGTTCAGGACTTCTTGATTATCAAGTGGGAGACCCTTCCACTGATTTTCTGATTTAGGCTGTTTTATGGGCTCAGCTCATTATCAGGATATGTAATTAGTACAATGTTTTATTTATTCAGAAAGCCCTTGAATACCGCTGGGGTTGTTTAAAACAAGTAGAAATATGTGTTCGTTTCATGTATAGTTCAACCTTCACCTGACTGGGGACATCCATGCCATCACTGCTGCCAATAACTTGCTGGCTGCTGCCATCGACACAAGGATTTTGCATGAAAATAGTCAAACTGATAAGGTGAGAAAGATTTCTTGTTGGCCATTTGGGGCATCTTGTCCTAGGATTCCTGGATTCTTAAGGACTTTGTGGAAAACTTCTGGAGTCTGTAAACTCTCTGAAATTTTATTCCAAATTTTGTAAATTTATATGTGTCCTTATTTTTAGAGAGAGGATCCATACTTTGGTCAGATTCTCGAGTGTATGGTCACTGCCTAGTTGTTGGGAGGATTATGTTAATTGTACTTTTTAAGCCAGATATTCTTTGAGAAGAGTCTTTAGTTTTGAAGATAGTTGTCTGTGCCACTGCCCTTCATTCTATCCATAGGTCTAATCTCTGTTTTATACTGAGGGGATAGGAGAGAGCTTTTTAAGACTAATGTTACATGCAGCTGTCCTGGGTGTGCTGTTACCCAGGGTGTACTGCTGGAAATAGGTCAGACCCCTAATGCAGTGTGAGAGGTAAACCATACACCTAAAAGGGACAGGGTACCAGATGCTAGTTCCTCATAGACACAGATATGGATAAAAGTGGGAATTTCTGGTCCTGACTACCTCCAATTAAAGTAACTTTCCGGTGAGTTTTTGAAGCCAAACTCAGATAAATATTAATTTAATAGTTATAAGGCTATAGATCAAGAAATACATATTTATGCAAACTCTTTGCAATGTGCATTATGTCAGATCTGGTCAGATTTATGAAAATTATAGAACTTAAGGCTACACTGCTTATCTTTGCCAAGAATTTTAATAGGGTCTATAATCTAAACAGTTTGGTTATAAATGTAGTGAACTTCGTTGTATCCTGTGAATTGTCCAAGTTCTTGGTTGGCCCTTAAACCTTTGTGGGGTTTTATTTGTGTTTTGTGTTCTCAGGCTCTGTTTAATCGCCTGGTTCCTTCAGTGAACGGTGTTCGAGAATTTTCAAACATTCAACTTGCTCGGCTGAAGGTAAGTTTCCAGTGAGTGATTCTTTAAAAAGAATATATCCTAGAGACAAATCAGAAAAATTGTCAAAGCCAGAAAAGTAAAACTTGGTTGGATTTTTGGTTTTCAGACACTCTTGGGGGGGGGGATGTTAAACGCTACAGAGACAGACCAATGGAGCAGAGAGCACAGAACTGGAAGCCTGAGACCTGCACCCTACACCAAAGAGCTCAGTGGACAAATTGGGCCTCAGTTTCCTCTTCATCTATGAATGAGAGGCCTGCTCTGCTGTCCTAGTGTACCCTGGTTAACAAATGACAGTCTCCCAGAGTCCTTCTCTTCTGTGAAATTTCTTCAATTTCTAGGAAATGAGATACAGCCTTTGAAAATTCATCTATTTCAGTTTTTGTTGCAGCAAGATACTAAGCAATCTCTTTTTTTGCTGTATTTATTTTTTGTTTTTTTACTTACTTATAGTGACATGATACTAAGCAATCTTGATTCTTACCCACATTACTGCTTTCTAGGGCTTTTGGATACTTGTCCTACTTATCACATTAATTTCCCCTTCTTTTCAGACACTAAAAACTAACTTTAATGGTAGAATTTTCAACCACCATTTGGTAATATTTGGTTTTTAAAACTCACCACCTTGCTTCTTACTGAACTGAGTTCCATTTCTTGAGAAGAACACACGACACACCCTCGCCAGCAGCTTCAACATAGTTTGTTGCCCAGATTCTCTCCTAATCCTTCCATTCAGAGCCACTTTCTCAGAATGTTTCCTTTGTAGAAATAGGTGCCTTAACAATGTCAATGGGTTATTTCTCAATGAATTAGAAATAGCTAGTTTTGAAAACGCAGACATCAGGTTTACTTGAATTATTGGTCTTTGTGTTGGAAAAGAACTCATGAACTGGAGCATCAATCATACAGACAGTGGTTTATGTCCCTTCTGAGCACAGCACACGGTGGCCACAGAGAACCGAGAGCCTCGGCTGAGATGGCACGAGCCCTCTGGGTACTGCCAACCATATTGCATTTTCAGATCTGTCGTGATAAGGGTATATTACAAATTTCAATGTCTTCCACTTATAGGAGATATAGGGCATTGATTTCAACAAGTTGGCCTAACCTACAGTTTACCTTAAAAGTTTAAGTTCAGTTTTTATTTTTTTATTTTTTTAAAAATGTTTTTATTGATTTGAGAGAGAGAGGGAGGGCGAGGACAAGAGGGAGATAGAAATATCAATGAGAGAGAAACATCATTGATCGACTGCTTCCTGCACACCCCCTACTGGGGATCAAGCCTGCAACCCGGGCATGTGCCCTGACCAGAATCGAACCAGTGACCTCTTGGTTAATGAGTCAACACACAACCACTGAGCCCCACTGGCTGGGCTAAGTTCAGCTTTTAAAAAGCTTTCCTAGTCATGGAGAAAATCAAGGAAAGAGGGATCATTTTTGTTACATCTTGTTTTCTTTTCCTTTTAAAACTTAGTGCACTTTTTATTCTTGATCATTAGAAACTGGGAATAAATAAGACTGATCCAAGTGCACTGACAGAAGAGGAAATGAGGAAATTTGCCCGTCTCGACATCGACCCTGCCACCATCACGTGGCAGAGAGGTGAGTACTGATTGCCTGGTCGGGAGGGTGACCACGTTCCAGCTGACGTTCTTAAACCAGTTTCACAAAGGCACGGTTTTCTTTCTTCCCATCGTCCGCCCAACCTGTGTCACAGTCCTTCCATTTACGGGTTTTCCTGTCCTCTTCCCTTCTCTGCCCGCTTACCTGCGTCCCCCCTTCACCCACCTGCTCTGGGCGGCCGGGCTCAGTCATATCCACTCCCACGCCTTCCATGTCCAAAGTCTGTCTCTCCTCTTGTTTCTCCTCCTGCCCTCTCTACCCACTGCTCTAATTTCTTCTTTCATTTTCTTACCATCTCTCTAGGCAGCTATTAAATCCATATTTTCAGTTCTGATTTTTTTCTCCAAGCCCAGCACATGCTTCCAGCCACTTACTAGAATTCTCTCTAACACTTCAAATGCAGTGCAGAGGGACTCCTCGTGACCTCCATCCTGGTGCTGCCCTCCTGTTCCTCTCTAGCTGGGACACCTCCCCTTCCCCCGCACTGCCCTCTGCGAGGGTGAGACAGAGGGAAATAGCACAAAATGTGGAGCCAGGAGCCCTCAGTGTGTGCCTCCGCCCTGCCACTAACTCGCTGTGTGACCCTGAGCAGCCACATGCATGTTCTAGGCCTCGGTCCCTTGGAGATAGAAATGGAGACGATCACATACTTATAGGAGTGTGTGCACTGAGGAAGCTGAGGTGCTACAGGGGGGTGATGATGTGTGTTCTGGTCCTTCCTGAAGTTCTCAGACAGGCCCCCCGCACTTTCCCCATTTCTACCCACTTCCTTTTTATCAGATGCCCGATTTATTGCACTGACCTTTTAGTAGGTATCCTTTTCCTTCTGTCCCCCAATTCAGTACATAGGTTTGTATGGTGAAGATGTTATCCTGTCATTGCCTTACTCTCTGCTGTGTGACAAAATTCTCCTGCATCCTGAGTGGGATAAAACCGCCATCACACGGCTTGGCCTTAAGGACCACTGTGGTGTGGCCCCATGCACTTTTGTTCCCTGTCTGCTTCCCAGACAGGTGGGCCCACCTTCATTCTTCCGCCTGCCCCGGCCCAGCCGGCCCTGCCCTGTCTCCCTGCCGAGGCCATCCCAAACAGCCCAGGCCCACCCCTTCGTGAAGCTTCCCTTCTGGGAATTCTCTGAAATAATTGATTAAGAATTTAGTGTTTTCCTACAAACCATGAGGTGGAGAGACAAAGACTGAGATTGAATCTTGGCTCCACCATTTATGAGCTGTGCAGCTTTCCACAAGCAACTTCCTCCCTTTCCTCTGTAAAAGGGATTCGATTCCAGCTGTCCCCTTGCACGGTCGTCAACAGGGGACTGCTTTCCAAACTCTAAGCACCACCCGGATAATCAGGTGCCACGGCTGTAATATTGTGTGATGTATATTTCTCCCAAACTAAAGGACAGCCAAATCTCTTTGGAAACTTATAAAAATATTTTTTATTATAAAAGTAACAAAGATTTTGGAAATGTCTAAAAAGAATAAGAAACATCTTGCTATACTAATAGCATCTGGATTTTGTGTATAACTAATTATATTTTGGGTGTTAAGGGAGCATGCAGGAGGCAGCCAGTCAGTGACTCTGTCTTATCATTGATGTTTCTGTCCCTCTTTCCCTCTCCCTTCCTCTCTCTGAAATCAATAAAAACATATTAAATATATATATATATATATATGGGCTTAGATTTAGAAATAGTATAACCCTTGTGATATGATTAGGTCCTTCGCTGATTTGATAACTAGAGAGGAGACACTCGGGCTGAAAATCTTCTCAGACCATGTGGTTATTTAATGGCCACCCCCTTCCTTGCAGCCCATGTGAGAAATCTCATGGTTCTCACATCCTATGTCTCATCCAGAAGCTTAAAGGCCTTGTGTGCCTTGCAGCAGGATAGAACCAAGGGCCCATAGAATATTCTAAAAACATTTAATGTAAGCAGAAGAAACAGCAGATGTAGGGCTATCATGCTGTTCCTAGAGGAGCATGAGCCCTGCCTGTCTGAGCATCAGAACCTCTATGGGCTTCCAGTCGTCCCTTTTCCCCCTCTCAGTCATGTGTCCTTGTCCTGGTCATTAGACCAAAGTCCCACAAGCCCCAGTCATCTTCAGTGAACTGACATCAGTCTCCTGGTTGCCAACACCTGACAACCCTGCAGGGACTCAGTGTAGTTCTCCCACTGAGACCAATATAGTGGGCCTGCCCCTGATGGTACCTGTCCTGCCCAGATCCTGAGCTGGCAGTGGGTAGCAGGCTGTTGGGCACACTCTGCATGTCCATCAGGACATAGCACTGTGGTGGTACAGGGACCATATAGATCTAGAGCAAAGAGGGGAAAACAGGTTTCTCCCCTCCCAAACTCTCTCCTACTCTGCTCACCTCCCCTTTGACAGTCAACCCCTCAGATAAGAGACAGATGCCTTGTTCATTTTTGTCTCCCTATACAGCTAGCACGGGACCTGTCATGAAACTGGCCCTCAGGAAATATTCCTGGAATGAATAGATTGTTCTCATTCTGTATCGCTCACTTTGGGTTACTTTCTGGTATCTTCTGTGTCAGAATTTCATCTTCACATTTCTTCTCATGTATCTAAGACCTTTACACGACTCTTTCCCGGCACCCCACAGGTGTGTGGATGTGACACGCCAGCTCTACCAGGGCTTGGTGCCCCACCGGCCAGCTTTCATCTTAGCAACATTTGCAGGGCGGGGCTTTCTTGTGTTCTTTTCGCTGAATTGAATTAAGAAAAGCAGCTGAATTTTCCATAACAAGATCACATGAATCTTGTGTCAAGATTATGCACACTACACAGGAGAGTAGGAAATATTTTTACTTTATATGACGGCAGTGTAGGTCTTGGGAGTCAGTACTAGCTGGCAGTCATACTGAGAAGCATTCTTTTGTCTGTATGTACTCTGCTTATATCAAAATCATAAAGGTTTCTGTGCATTTGATGAGTGTTGAGTGTCTGTGTCTGAGTGTGTATATATATATGTGCGTGTGTGAGAGCATGTAGTCTGTGGATGAGAGACATGCCACAGCTGAGTCAGGGAGCAGCAGAGGTGGGCATGGTGGGCACATCTGTCTGTGCTGTGGGCCGGAAAGAAAAGGTTAACTTTTCATCCTGCAGGTGCTTCTAGTCCCCAGATGCATCCTCACATCACCACTGTCAGTGCCGTGTTATACATTTAGTAACTGATGTAAATTGTCAGTGTAGACAGCTTGTTATTTGAAGCCACATAAATTATTAGTGGAGTCTCGGCCCTCTGGCTTTGTTTCTGGCATTGTAAACTTGGTTTTCACTATACCAAATGCAGTTTTCACAAACGAGATGCAAATCTTGTAATTCAAACAAGCCGATAAAAAATGAGGAGACGTGGTGCCTGCTTGACTCATAACTGACTTCTCCTCCTCCCCTCAGCCTATACTCCTTTATTTCTTCATAAAGGTGGTTAAGTATACCTACGTCATTTTAACCACTCATAAGTGTGCAGTTAGTGCCACTGAATACATCCACAAGGTTTGCAGTGATTACACCATCACCACTGACTATACCCAACAAAAACTCTTCAGCCATTAGACAGTAACCTCCCTCTACCACCCCTGGTACTGCTATTCTACTTTCTTTGCCTATTCTAGATAGAATCATACAGTGATTATCTTTCTGGTTTATTTCATCATGCCTAATGTTTTCAACGTCCATCCATGTTGTAGCATAGAGTAAAAGCCCATTTTCATGGCTGTATAATATTCCATTGTGTGTGTATGCCACAGTTTGCGTAACTGCCTAGTCAAAAATGGTACCTCACCCCACTAGTACCCTGACACACCCTGTCACTTAGGCACTTACACCAGCTGATGTTTTCTTGCTTATTTGATCCTTCCCTGTGTCCTCTCCCTGGAATGTCTGCTCCCTGGAAGCCAGGCCTGGTCTCTTGCTCTCCGCTGCTTCCCCAGCACTCAGAACAGGGCCAGACGCACACTCAGCAGCCAGTCCGTACTTGGATAACCTATTCTCTTCTCTTTCAGTATTGGATACAAATGACCGATTTCTACGAAAAATAACGATTGGGCAGGCAAACACAGAGAAGGGATATTCCCGGCAGGTAGGTGGCTCTGTTCTTGGTAGCCTTGGTTTAGAAGCTGGTTCTCTACTTTTGTCTTCTCTTTCCCCTCCCTGCAGTGGCCAGTGCATCTCCCACCATTTCCAGGTATCATTTCCAGTCCCTCAGCAGCACTGGGAGGGATCAGCAGGCGGGAAGTCTCCTGTATTTTCTTACCTCCTTTTCTTATTTGTGTGAGTTTAGTTGTGTTTCTGGGATGAGCCACTCAGGGTGTCCCTTGAATATCAATCCTAACATATTTTATTGCAGACCCACCCAGTTGATACAACATCTGCATGACAACTAAATAAATGAAAATCTCAGACACATTACTCAAACTTACAAACAAAAGAAAAAAAACGCCTTGTTATTTGGCTGAATAGCCTAAGGAATTTTTAAGGATAATGTCTTACTACCCAAGTCAAGAGCATGTAAGGAAAATTATGATGTCCACCTTCATTTTACTAGGTCTCCAGTGGGGGCCTTGGCACGTAGGGAATATAAATTCATCCCATGGCCTTTTTTAGCCAGGCGCAGCTGTCCTATAAGTTTTCAGGGGTTTTAAATAAACTTTATATTTTAAGACAGTTTTAGTTTTTTGACCTTAATTGTGTTAAGTTTTCTTAGTGAAAAAAAGAATCACTTTTACTTTTACTCTAGTATAAAGAAAAGATAATTTTGACATAAAATAATTAAAATATTTAGTATTAAAAAAATTACATACAAAAACATTAACAAACTAGGATAGAATATTTGCAATATATATAAAACAAAGGATTGATGTGCCAAACATATAAAGAACTTCCACAAATTAATACTCAAATATCGCTCTCATCAAGGCCTTTCTTTTCGGTTACCTGCTTTAAAATTATAGCTGCCTGCCCCCAAACTCCCTTTTTCCTTTCCCTGCTCTCCTTCCTTATCTCATTTATTTTCTGCCTCCCCTTACTAAAATGTGAGTTTCACAAGGGCACATGTTTTTTCTCTTGTTCACTGCTGTATTCTTAATGTATAGAACTTTGTTACATGGTAGTAGTAGATATTTCATAAGTATTTGCTAAGTATATTAATAGAATAAATAAAAAACAATTTACAAAAATAAAATGCCAGTAAGTAATCATAAAACTGCAAATTAAAAAAACAATGAAGTATTATTTATCTCTGAGTTTATCAAAGCATAAATTGCTATTAAATGTTAGTGAGGATGCAAAGCAACTATACCAGATACATGTGGCAGTTGAAAGTAATAAAGTGTACATAGGGGGAGAGACATAGAGCTCTCATATCATTGTGAAATGGAAAGGTTGAAAAAAAAAAACTTCAAAAAAATGTGAAGTAAAATACATATAGTATAATCACGTTTATGCTAAGAAAAAGCCAGCAAGCATGATCCTACACATGTATAAACGCATAAAATGGAAGCTGGTATGATACACACCAACTTGTGACCTAATTTTATCTGGAAAGAGGATTGGGTGAAAAAAGGAATACTAAAGAAGGCCGTTCACACTTTCTCTGCATATTTTTGTACTGTAACTGGGCACTGTTACAGTACAAAATAGGAAAGATTGATAATGGCTGGAATGCCTTATGTATGTAGGCTCATTACATACACGAGCACATTCTGTTAATCTGTTTTACAAATGAGATTTGTTATATCCTGTGTTGCTTTTTGTATAAATGTTTTTAAATAAAAATAGATTATATTTTAAAACTTCAACTGCTGCTTTTAAGACCCTATTTAGGATATCTTTTTATGTCAATAAAGGGAGATCTGTATGATCACTTTTTAATGGCTATAGAGTACCTCATCTTACGGCTGTATCATAACGGATTAACCAGTTCCCTGTAGTGGACACTTAGGGTGTTTGCAGTGTTGAGCTATCATCAATAAGCTGATATACACAGAGGTAGCATACACACATTTTTATGTGTATTCTTAGTGATGATGTCCTTAGAACAACTTCCTGGAACCATAATTGCAGCGTCAAAGCGGATTTTTAGTCACTTTGATATGTACTGTTTATAATGGAATGGTGATTTAGAGAATCCTAAATACCACACTATGAAAAATCACTTATGTTTGGAAGGGTTATATGGAGAATTCAATAATTAAATATAGTTGCATTTGACTTCAGGTAATATTTTTTCACTAAATCGATGACTAATGAAATCTCACTCAGAAAGTAGTCAGAAAGCTCCTTGGTTCCTTCATTTCCTTTCTTGTCAGTGACGGAAATGGACAATGTGGTATTTCATAAGGAGATCCCACTAGGGCAGAGCCATTTTCTCTCTATGTAAGCTTGAACTTGTCTGGCTCTCATGCCCCTTGGGAAGCAGAGAATTCAGCCAAAGCATAGTGAAGTGGCTTTTCCAAGGCTGAATTGGGAGGGGGAGGAAGTACATGTTCCTCATGTCTTTTGGTTCCTGCTGGTCTGTGTGCCAGCTGGAGCCAGAGCCAGGAGAGGCAATGGGAAGCCCAGGAGTGTTTAGGAGAAAGTACTTGCTCTCTAGCATTCATTGCTCAGCACTTCCAGAGCTGATGTGGCCACTCCCTTGAGGACAGCTGGAAATTGACTCTGCCTCTTCTTTTGACATGGTGATTACACAAGTCAGTGTGTCTTCACTGCTGGGTTGAGCTCTGACTCTGGGTAACTGGCCTCAGGACCAGCTCCTTGCACTGTCTGCTCCTCGCCTCTTTCCTGGACAAACACAGCCCCCTTGACACCATGATAAGTAACAGGGTATAGTCAGCTGGCTGTTCGTTCATTCAGCCAATATGTGTTGGGTGCTTATTAGGGTTCACACTCAGTCCTCCGAGCTGGGGATTCAGGAGCGAACCCTCCCCAAAGGGTCTGTGCCCTGATGGCCCTTACAGTCCAGTGGTGGAGACATGCATCAAACAGGTGATCACACGAAGCATTAATTACAAGTCTGAAACATGCTACAGAAGCAAATAGTGCCATGAGCTGTTGTGATAGGGTTCCAGCCAGGACGAGTCCTGCTTAGTAGAGCAAATGGAAAAAGCTTGTGGCCACCCTAGGAGGCTGCCCTAGAGAGCATCAAGCCCAGGACCAGACACTCTGAAAATGTGTGCACTTGAGAATGACCCATCGAGGATAAAGCCTCAGGCCTGCAAGAACTTAATAGCTGAGATTTGGCTCCTTGTGGACACGGCCCCCCCCAATGGCCCTGCAGCTGACCAGCAAGCACTTTTGCTCTTACCATTCCAGGCGCAGTTTGACATCACGGTTGCCAGTGAGATCATGGCGGTGCTGGCCCTGACTGACAGCCTCAAGGACATGAAGGAGAGGCTGGGAAGGATGGTGGTGGCCAGTGACAGAAGTGGGCAGCCCATAACAGCAGAGGATTTGGTGAGTACGTCCATCTCAGGAGCTCCAGAGCTCGCTGCCCCTGTTCTTTCACCACACTGAGGATGAAGATTTTCTCGGCCACGTGCAAGACAGGGACCCAGAGAATTCCCGCACACACAGTTTTCCCCCACGGGCCTGTTTGTTTTCCAGCTTCGTAATGGCCCCGTGGGCCTTTATAGCGTGCCAGTAATTGGTTGCAACCAAAGCACATGAAATGTATTTCATATGCTTTTCCCAATTCTTGCCAGTCCTGCTCTCTGCTCTGCTTGGGGCGGGGTCGTCCTGCAGCCTGTGACTTTTCCAAAAGGTCGATCTCTGTTTCAAATTGAGGGCAAATCTCTTCACAGGAATAAGAAGTGGGTGTCTCCATCTTCGTGAAAGGAAAGGTTAAGTTAATCTGGCACATGTTTGGCTCCAGCCTGCTCCCTGGGTATCCTGGCTTGTTTGATTTTGTGCCATAGATTTGAGTTTCACTTTATAAGAGCAGGTCTCCACCTTGCTCAGTGTCACTCCTCTATCTCCTCTTTGAGTGGAATGATGCTGTATATAAAACTTTCAGGGAGTCCTGGCACACCACTGTCTAAAGTGTCTGGTCTCATTGGGCACACTGATCTTTTTGTTCTGCTCTTTAATACCCATCTCTGTTGTTAAGTAAACCCCATCAGTGGAATAGTTATTTCTTTTGCTCGAATGAATTTGTAAGGACATAGGCAGGACATAGGCCTCTTGGACAGCCATTACTCTACAGTTAAGCCTCCTTCCCACATTGTGAGTCACATACAGCAATGGAATTAAAACATACACTCCCAATTGAAAAACAGTTGTGGAAGGGGAAAGGCAAATTAATATTTTTATTAATTCCAAAAGTTTAGGATATAATATGAACCCTTTGCCAACATGTCTTGATTACCTTTTGGCTGCTTTAGAAGAAACGGATCTTACTGACTTATCACATAGCTTTGTCAAGTAAATTGAATAGATATGTTTATATCAGCACTCTATGGAATGCTTCGTACAAAGCTTAAAGAGGACACCCGTGTTTAGCTTGCTGTAAAAGAACAGCTTTTCAAAAATTGCCAAGACCTTCACATTTCTGTCTAAACTGACATATTAGAGTTTCTATATAAATATTTCTCTGTATCCTATTAACTTAAGTACCAATAAATATGTCTCAGGGGTCATTGGAAACTTAATCCTCAAATATTATTTCCCTAAACTTGTTTTTTTGTGTGTGATAAGAATCTTGGATCTGTAACTAACTCAGGGTTTGCTCTCTTTAGTTATCTTCTGTGGCTGTTCTTTGCAAAAGTACCTTGTCTTTGCAGATTGTTTCATTGAGTTAGAACTGTTGGTAGTTGGTCCTCCATAGAAAATTAAGGGAGAACTTTTGGACCTTCTACACCATCATTTTACTACCTTGTAACTTGTCCCTGATTTGGTCAGAAGAACTTATTGTATTGCAGTGGAAATTGGAATAGATGACCTCTAAAAGTTTCTTATAAGATGATTGAGTCTGATATCCCCTGAAAAAAGATGTCCAAGCTCTCCTCTCCATGGACTTGGGCTATGGAACAGGTGGCAGAGCTTACAGTAGGCGTGACTGCCCCAGAGCTGCTCTTGGTGGTGAGGGTTTTTTTTGGATGGGCTTGACGATAGTCAGTGTGTAGGGAGCAACGAAAGATGAGATGTGGCATGAAAAACCAAGCAGGTGGTAACTCACCTGAGACCGTCCAACAGAAAGGTCCAGTTTCCTTCCTCCTTTCATTTCTTGAGCTAGGTGTATTTGACCAGGAATAGAAGCAAGGGGAATGTGCAGAAAAGCAAGCTGCTGGTCTTCCTCTACATGCTCTGTGTTATGAAAAGAGAACTGATTTCTTTGCGCCAATTCTGGCCAGCAGCTTTCACCGTAAAACATCTTAATATATTTATAAAAGGTAGGTTACTTTTCTTATGATGTATATTTTGTATGGTCCAGTAGAAAGTAAATTAGATTTTCTGGTAGATCTTAAGTGATGAAATATTATAAAAATAGAAAATGATCACATAAGAGAAATGTAATGTCATTGCTGATAGAAGAGGAAAAAAGTAATAATTTAATGCACTTTGGAGAGATGAAGATTCTCTAGGTTCTACCCACTGATCTGTTAAAAGCTGTTGGTCCTATTGACTTTTTCACGACTACGTGCACATGCATTTGCTCATAGTAACGACTAGTTTGTTGAAAGATACTCACCCTCAAACCCGTAGAATACACCACCAGAAGCAAATGCGAATGTAAGCTCTGGGAAAAGGAAAAAGAAAGTCTCTTGCCCAGTCCCAGTGTCTTTAGTACAGCAGGTGGAAGGGGTTTTTTATAAAAGCTTACCGCACAGCCTTATTTGACACTTTTTCCGATAATGCTTAGGCTTCATCCCTGTTGTCTCTTCCTTCTGTCTTCATTTCCAGGAAAGAAGACTTAGGGGGAGCCCCGACCAGAGCTTCCTAGGACTGGAAGGGGGCAGCCTCCTTCTGGGCAGACAGACAGCATGAGACGCTGAGAACGAGAAGCCTTTCAGATGCTTCTCTTTTTTAGAGTGCCTTCTCTGTCTGGGATGAGAGATTGAGAGATAATGAGAGACCAGAATGGGTGCTTTTAGACTGTTCCCTCTGCCTCTCTCCATGCGTGCTCTGGAAATAGCCTTGTTTCAGATCTTTGTCGTGTTTTTTCGGGCAACAGTAAAGTCTCTGGTCTTGAAAAAATAATGAGCATAATTGCCAGAAAACACGTGTATGAGGCCTGAAAGATCCACTTTCTGGCAAACCTCTTAAACACCCTTAAGGAAGGCTTTGAAAAACTGCATAACTATTGCTTCCCCCGTCACACTTCATGTCTTACACAGCTGACATCCATTCAGGTGGGGAGAAATGGCAGAGGGTGCAGTGCTGTGTCACATGAGATCAGAGGTGAGAGCAGTCTGTGGGGATGCCCACCTAGGGGACTGGCTGGTGAGAAATGGATCATCTTCTGTCAATCATCTGTGTTGCCTTTTTCTTTATGGGGAAAAATATTTTTTAGTTTACTTTCAATTGTTGTTGACATATAGTATTATATTAATTTCAGGTGTACAGAATAGTGATTCAACATTTATATACCTTGTGATCAGTGCAATAAGTCAAGTAATCATCTGTCACTGTGCATAATTATTACATTATTATTGACTCTGTTCCTTGTGCTGTACATTACATCACCATGACTTATTTTTATAACTAGAAGTTTGTACTTTTTAATCCCACCCAACCCTCCATACCCCTCCTGTCTGGCAGCCATCAGTTCGTTCACTGTATCTATGAGTTTTATTTGTTTTGTTTTCTTAGATTCCATGTGTAACTGAAATAATATGTTTTTCCCCCCTCTGACTTATTTTGCTTACTTGATAGTTCTCTCCTTCTTGTTGCAAATGGCAAGATTTCATTCTTTTTTATGGCTGGGTAATATTTCATTGTGTACATGTATCATATCTGCTCTATCCATTCATCTGTCAGTGGACACCTAGTTTCCATATCTCGGCTGTAACTAGTAATGCTGCTGTGAACATAGGGGTGCCTGTATCTTTTTGAATTATTGGTTTTATTTTTTTAATATCTACCCATGAATGAAATAGTAGTTCTTTTAATTTTTTGAGGAATCTCCATACTGTTTTCCACAGTGACTGCACTAATTTACATTCCCCCCAGTAGTGCATGGGGGTTCTCTTTTCTCCACATCCTCGCCACATGTTATTGTTTTCTTTTTGATAACAGCTATTCTGACAGGTGTGAGGTGGTACCTTGTGGTTTTGATTTGCATTTCCCTGGTGTTTATTGATGTTGAGTGTTTTTTCATATGTCTGTTGGCCATCTGTATGTCTTCCTTTGAGAAATGTCTATTCAGGTCCTTTGTTTTTTTATGTAGAGCTGTATTTTACATATTTTGGATATTACTTATCGGATAGATCATTTGCAAATATCTTCTCCCATTCAGCAGGTTGCCTTTTTTTTTAATGTAGTCTCATTTGTTTATTTTTCCTTTTGTTGCCCTTGCCTGAGGAGACATATCCAAAAAAAATACTCCTAAGAGCTATGTCAAAGAGTTTACTGCCTATGTTTTCTTCTGGGAGCTTAATGGTTTCAGGTCTTACATTTAAGTATTTAATCCATTTTGAGTTATATTTGAATATGGTGTAAGAAAGTAGTTTAGTTTCATCTTTTTGCCTGTTATCTGTCCAATTTTTCTAACACCATTTATTGAATAGAGTGTCTTTACCCTATTGTATGTTTTTGCCTCCTTTGTCGTAGATTAATGGCCATATAATCTTGGGTTTATGTCTGGGCTCTCTGTTCTGTTCCATTGATCTGTCTGCTTTTGTGCCAGTACCATGCCATTTTGATTACTATAGCTTTGTAGAATAGTTTGAAATCAGGGGTCATGATACCTCTAGCTTTGCTTTGCTTTCTCAGAATTGCTGTAGCTAATCAGGTCTTCTGTGGCTCCATATAAATTTTAGGATTATTTGTTATAGTTCTTTGAAAATGTCATTGATATTTTGATAGAGAATAAATAATTGTGGGGTTTTTCTTCTCTCTCCTTTAGGGGGTGACAGGTGCTTTGACAGTTTTGATGAAAGATGCAATAAAACCAAATCTGATGCAGACCCTAGAAGTAAGTGATTTTCCTTTTATAGAAATTGTGAACAGTTTACATTAATTGGATTGCTTGTGCCTCCCCATGCTACGTGAGCATTGCATACAAGGAATATCAGAAGAACTTGGTCATTCAAAAAAATTAAAAGTGTATTTATAGATTCTTTAACATAATTCATATCTTGGCTAATGTAGTATAATTGACCAGAGTAGAAATTTAGAAACTCAACATCTGCCTGATATCTCAGTAAGTCATGTAGCCATGTTTACATATTTTCTCTTTTGCCTTTTTTTTACTTAGTAAAAATAAATAATTAGGTCTTGAGATTTTTTATTTTTGTTTTTCCCAAACAAAACACATAGTAAATGCTAAGAAATGTTTTCCAGGGGAGTATGCTGTACCATACTTTTATGAAAATGTTGTTTTTGTATATGACTTTTCTGCTCTTGTCTTGAACTTAAATTTTCTCATCAAAATATCTGTTATCATCCAAGTTTTTAGTCAGTTGTCTTGCTCATGTGATGTAGTAATTGTCTGATTCCCTCCTCCTAGCTAATGAGAGCCCAGGACTTGGGTGCTGACAAGAAGGCAGTATCTGAGTCTGGTTGACAAAGAGACAAGTGGGAGGGTGTGGGAGGGGGTCTGGGAGATAGTGGTATACTGGTAAGTGTTTTAACAGCCAGCTCTCTGGGGTGAAAATGCCTGGTTTGTAGCACTTTCCAGTTTCCATGGTGTAAATGTTTCTGCCATGGACAATTTCTGGCTCCCTTACAGATGTCATTGAACAGTGGAGCTGGGAGGAAATGCATACAGTCAGTGGTGCAAACCTCTGTTTGTCTTCAAGTTGTCATGGGACAAAGGGAAGTGGAGGTAGCCGGAAGGCAGAAAGACAAGCAGAATATCCATCCATTTATTCATTTATTCAGCTGATACAAAGCTGAGTTTGTGTTCACTCTGCCATTTACTAACTGTGACCTTGGGAAGTATTTTAATAATCTCATCCCCCTTTTCTCTCATAAAATGGTGAGAGCCCCACTGACTAACCTAACAGGGTTACAGTGGAGATTTAATATTCACTGAACACATATCACGGGCAGGCCTTTAGGTAGGTGTTTGGCCGCGGCAGTGAACACCAAAGCCCCTGCGCTCTTGGCGCTGGCTCTCTCATGGGAGAGCTAGACCATAGAGAAATAAATCTGGTGGCCAGGACTGAAGAAGAAAAATAAGAAGGGACAGAGAGTGATGTGGGTGTGATATGGTGTCTGACGAGGTGACACCTAAACAGGGATGTGAATAAACAGGAGAGTGAGCTGAGTGTGTATCTAGAGGAGAGCTCCCCAGGCAGGGGGTAGCATTTAGTGCAGAGACCCTTGGCAGGAATGTGCTGTACAATCAAAGGGCCCCAGCAGAGAGCAAGAATCCCGGTATAGAAATGGTGGCACCAGAGAGAGCTAGAAGGTCCCGTGAGGGTGCGTCGTGAAGCCATCCCCTGAGCCAGGCTGGGGAGAGCAGAAGCACCACTTAGTCAGGCCTCTGGCTCCTGCAGCTTGAGTTCCTTCCTCTCCCGTCATTCCATTAGTGTGCACACAGGTTCTAGTGTGAGCTATCTTAAAACAAAACGCTTCCCAAAGCCTCCTGTGACCCCGTGTCCCCATCCAGCTGCTGCTCTATATCTCTGCTCACCTCCCAGTCAGACATTACTGTCTGTAACTGGAGTCTACTTTGTCACTTCACTCACCTCGGTGACTTTAGCCTGACCTCAGTTTCCCTCCTGTCAAGGTCAGCTGTCCCTCCATGTGACCGAGCCTTTGTTTCTCTTTCCTTACCTACATGATCTCTCAGCGGTCTGACACAGCTAATGTTTCTTCCTTCAGGAGCCCTTGCTTCTCCTGGCTTCTGTGACCTCTCCCTCTTCTGGACCTCCTTTGCTGGCTTCTTGGCTCAGCCCCTAAATGTCTGAGGGCCTGAGCCCTCACTCCTCCAACTATGCTCTCTCCCACTATCAGCCACTCAACCCCCAAACCCTGCTTCTGAATCTCCTGACCTCAGGATTTCAGACTTGGAGGTACAGTTTCCAAGAGCCACTTGGGTGGGTAAAAGGCATTTCAAACTCCATAAATAAGATCTTTGATTCCCAACCACCTCCTACTTCCTCCCAGTGTACTCCTTCCCCAAACCCAGTCAGCTCAAGCCAAAAACCTAGAGATCAGTCCCCGAGGCCCCTCTCCCCTCCCCCAACCTGCCTCCTCCTGGCCTCAGACTCACATGCCCACCTACCCCACCACTGCAGCCTCCAGCTGGTGTCACTTTTTCCACACTTTCTTTCAACACCTTCCTCCACTCAGCTCTAAAACTGAAACCAGTTCCTTTGCCCTCCTGCTTAGAGTTCTCGGGTGTTTACTGGAGACCTTACCTCTGGCCTGCTGAAGTGGAGCAATGGAATTCAGTTCTGTAGTCATACCAGCTACATTTCTACTTATATATCTTTTAAAAATTTTACTAGCTTCATTTTAAGTAGCCTCGTGTATTGGATGGTGCAGATATAGAATATTTCCAGCTTTGCAGAAAGTTCTTTTGGAAAAGCTCTTTTAAAAGGCTCTGGCAAGCAAGTGAGTCATTGAATTGTTAATCTCATGAAATGTTTGAAAAGCCCATTATGCAGAATATATATGGCTTTGTCCTCATGAGAAACCAAGATGGTTCCTGTATTACTTTCCTAAGTGTTCTGTATATAAAGTAAAATACCAAACTCATGATGGATAGTTTTATATCTTTGGATTAGTCATGGAATTTTCAGACAGAGCTTTTGACTGTGTACTGTATCGTATAGCTGCAGGCACCATTTGAGTGTGTGAGCATACGTGTCTGTTTAAATGTCTAATGTACACATTTTTCCATTCAACTCCGTACTAGGAGATCCAGAACCAGGGCTCCAACGCTGCTTTAAAGATTAACACACTGTGTGGCCTTCAGCTTTAAGTGAAAATTAAAATGCTGCTGATCTAATCCTTTGAGCGGTTATATCAGGAATAGTGATTGTTTATGCTGACCCAGCCACACCCTGCCTATCACCGGTTCTCCTTGGAGACCAGTGCCCGGTGCTTTGCAGACAGATGGCCACGGTCAGGGTTGCAGTGTATAAAGGAGTGAAGGCAGCTGCCCTCCCAGGGTTGGAGCCTGCAATCTGTCCTCAAGAAACTTTTACCAGCTCCGCTAGCTTCCTCAGACAGCCACGTGCTGGGAATGGCAAGGTCAGGAGGTGATGGAGACTGTCTTTTATTTTTATTTTTTCTATTTTATTTATTTATTTTTTTAATTTATCTTTATTGTTGAAAGTATTATAAATGTCCCCCTTTTTCCCCCTATGAATCCCCTCCACCCTGCACCCCTCCCCTCAGGCTTTCACCACACTATTGTCTGTCCACAGGTTATGCATATATGTATATAAGTTCTTAAATTAATCCCTCCCCACCCACCCCTGCCTTCCCTCTGAGATTCATCAGCCTGTTCCATGCGTCTATGGGAGACTGTCTTTTAAACAGTATTTTCTTCAGAACACTTGAAAGGTTTATCTGGATAGAAGTGAGAAATCAGACATAGATGAACCGGTAAACCTAGACACTGAACCTCCACGTATACACATCCATAAACATGTGTTTGGGTTTCATAGTCCCAGCTTTACTTCCACACACACGTGCATGACCTTCTTGGGACCATGTTGCTGTCCCTCTTGAGGACTTTGGAAGAGAAGGAAGTAGAGGGCTGGCGGAGTGGCTTTGATAAGCTGCCTTTTCATTCTGAGGGCTGATATTTCTCTCGCTTCCTTTCTTCCTGCTTGTGTTCAGCTTTCTCAGCTTAGAAGCATGGTGAGCAGCAGCTCGTTGTGGGCATTTTCTGTGGCTTGCAGCCCCTGTCTCCGCACACCGTTCCTGGTGTTCCCCACATCGGTGAGAGGGCAGCCTGCATTTTCACAGGCGGAGCTCAGGCTTCGTGTGCACACACCCCGATGGCCCCCTGGGCTCTGAGTAAAACCCTAGACCTTAAATGCATGTGTATAAGTTCTTTTAGGTTGGGCTATGGTCTGTTCTCTTTCACTAAGAAAAAGTATAGAAAAGGCATTAAAAATAAATCTATGGACAGACTTTTGTTCAATGAATTAAGATATAATGATTATCAGATTTTTAACACGTAGGACAAACAGTGAGAAAGTCTTAAAACAAAATTTTTAAAAATCAGAATAACAAGCTTGTTATTGTGAACATAAAAACTTAATATTTGCAATACAGTATTCTTATGTGGTTGGCCTGCCTTGAATTGAATTGATTTTTATGCTTGCTTTAGATTTTTCTTGAACTGATTAGTTTCTTAATGAGAAAAAAATTATATAAGCCTCTTAGACCATCAGGGAGTAATTCCATTTTTAAGAAAAATATAATGCAAAGTAATGTGAAATAAGATAAGGCGTTTAGTTCATGGTCACTGAGGCAGCTAAGACATTGGCTTATCAAAATTATCGTAGAAAATAACTGATTCTTACTGCTTTTTCTCCTTGATTCAGCACTTAGTGTAGAATAACAGTGTTCTGGAATACATAAGGAACTCGGACCTTTGAAAGAGTCAGGGTGTTTTAACTTCCTTCGTGAAAATTTGTGCATTAAATTTGCAGTATTAATAAAAGCCAATACCCAGCAGTCTGGCCCACCTTGTTTGCCCCAAATTAACCTTCCATTTGTCTTTAGGAGTTTTAATTTGTTGTTCTACTTCCATAGGGGACGCCTGTATTTGTGCATGCTGGCCCCTTTGCTAACATCGCCCATGGCAACTCTTCAGTATTGGCTGATAAAATTGCCCTGAAACTAGTGGGTAAAGAAGGATTTGTAGGTAAGTCATTTCTTTTCAATGTAGTTGTAGGATATTGAAAAAATTTGAAAGACGACTACTGGAGTGGAGTGGTAGCCACACTGACTTGGAGTGTATTCTTTTTAACCCACCTTTTGTAGATGGTTTCAGTGTTAGAAAAGCCCTGTAGCATGGCCTCCACTAGTGAAATGATACTGTGGCTGAACCATAGATTCTGATGTCAGGTGCTTATAGGCTTGAGTGTAAGCTCTAATACTTGGTGGCTGAGAAACCTCAGGCACATTGTAATGACCTCTGAACCTCAGTTTTCTCATCTGTAAAATGGTGATAACAATATTGTATCAAACCTTATAGAGTTATTGTGGAAACTAAATGAGATTATTCATTCAGCAAATACTGAGAATCTACCATTTATAAGGCATGTGACTTAGAGCTGGGACTACAGTGGTGAGCAAAACAAACAGCCTCTGCCCTCGTGGAGCATCCTGTCTAATGTATATCATTTAACAGGAGAAAGTTCTCTTTCCGTGTTAGCCATTATTGGCAGTAATACTACTGTTAACAACTAAAAATTCCATAGAATCTGAGTGTGTATTTGGTGGCCTCATGGAAGGAAGAGTCCCAGCCAATACACTTGGAAATTTTAATTCGTTGAACTTCAAATTTTTGCTGCTGTCACGCTCTCCTTTGTGGTGCCTGTTTCTCTTTGGCTTTTGTTGGATATTCCAGCCAGAAGGGGGCAGCTGCCATAGAGTTGGCATAGTCAGTGCCAGATCCCACCCATGACATTAATGCTGTGACAAAACAGAAGATAGACAAACAAGCAAGGATTCATGGAGTGACACCTTACTTTGACCCTGGGCGATTTTGCACTGGCAGGTTTTCACAGGCTGACGGATAATTTCCATTTACCACCTGAGTGCCTGTAATCACCGAGTCCAGCAGTGGCTTCTTTCACACCAGTCATCTGCCCTGTGTCAAACTCAGAAGTGAGTTATTTTATTGGGAAGGGTTCTGCTGGACAAAAGAACTTAGCTGTGCACTTTTTACCATCAACCACTATCAAGCCCATTCAGGACTATTGAGACTGCATCAGGAATTCCTTACAGACACACAGTCAGGAGCTGACAAGGACTTATATAGCTCATTCCTCAGAGGCCTGTGCTAGACAGCATGCTCGTACTTGGCTTCAGGTCCACTCTGAGAGTGGCTAGATGTGCTGTCTAAGTGGGTTTGTTCCATTGATCGAGGCATAACTATAGATCTAAAGGACTCAGGGGCTGGGTGAAAGCAGGCACTGGAAAGCTGCCTCTTCTGTGAAGTGGTTCTAATGCATTCTCTCCACAAACAAAAGAGCTTCTAGGAGAAAGCACTCCATCCTATACTGACAGAGCGCCCTGCCTCTGTGCTGTCCTCACTGTCAGTTAGTATTTATGGAAGATGTGTTACCGTGGCAAAGCATCTTCAGAGGCATATGCTGCTGGTGTATGCAGAACATACATACTGCTCTCCGTATGACCTTGGACAAGCCACCCTCTTCCAGCCAAGGTCCCTCACTTGGCAGAAGCCCTCCTTGTGTACAATCCTGCTGCTTCCCCACCTGGTCTCTAGGCCCCGCGTACCTTTGACTTCTGACTTAACTTTGCTGGGAGTGCAGCCGTGCCTCTCACAGGGCTGTTTCCGCCTGTAAACTTCTCCTTATACCCCAGTCCACTACTGTGTCCCCCTAAGGCAGAGACACCACTGAGCCTCTCCAGTCATTCCTCTAAGTCTAAAGCCTTCCTCACTAGCTCCAGGATGGGGGCGAAGCATCACATCCTTCCCACTGGGATGTGGGAAGTGGGACCCGTTGTGTGGACAGTTTCCTTTGAAGATGTTCTTTCCTGGCTCCTGACATTGTCAGCCCTTTGAAACCTCAAGGTGGCTGTTGGGCTAACAGATGCAGAAATCTATTTTCAAACAATTTCTTTGCCAATAAGCAAGTGACACCATTTTGGAGCCTCAAAAAGAAAGTGAGCCTGGCCAGGCGTGGCTTAGCAGTTGAGCATCGACCTAGGATCCAGGAGATCGGGGTTCGATTCCCAGTCAGGGCACATGCCCGGGTTGCGGGCTAAAGCCAATCAGTGACTCTCTCATCATTGATGCTTCTATCTCTCTCTCTCTCCCTCTCCCTTCCTCTCTCTGAAGTCAATAAATATATATTTAAAAAAAGAAAGAAAATGAAACCCAAAGAGCACCATGTTAGCATCCTTCTACAGAAGTTAAATGCAGAGACATATGTTTGTCAGAAGCCTGAGGAGGAATGTATGCCCTCAGAACAGTCATTGTTTATACGAGACCATCTCTCTTAAGATATAAAAAGCTCAAACCCAAAACAAAAAGATTGATAATTTGGGTTATATTAAAAAAATAAATTATGTGTGATGAAAGATACAAGGTTAAAAAGCAAGTGACAGATTGGAAGAAATAATTTACAAGGATAATAGACAAATGAACAGCACTTGGAATATGATATAAACCACAAGGGACTACAGATTGATAAGAAAAAAACAAATAATCCAATAGAAAACAGGCAGAAGATTTGAGAAGATAGTTCACAGAAGAGCAATCTGACAGAATTTCTGGGTAAAACTTAAAAAAGAGAAAATGATCTAGGAATTTCACTTCTCTGTAATTTCCAGAAAAGAAGTAACTGAAAATATATTTAGGTCTTTGAAATAATTTGCCTCAAGACATATTTATTGAGTTTCTGCTGTATGTCAAGTAATACATGGTAGGAACTGGGAATCAAAGACGATGAAGACACGTTTCCCAGCCCACAGCAATTTACAGTGGGGAGCAAGAGACAAGCCTATAAGCAGAATCTCAAACTGGGGTGTCCGATGCACTTAGGAGACCACGGTCCATATCGACTAAGAACCTTAAGAGATGATACACATCTCCTAGATAGAATTGTCTCCATATTGCTGGCTTAATCCAGTGTTTTGTTACATCCCAACACACATAAGGAATTATTTGTCTACTCTGCAATAATTACTCCAAGATAATGGCCTCAGTATTCCATTTAGATTTAAAACAGAGTAAAGTTTATTTAATTAATTGCAGAAATTTGTCAGACTAGAGCAAAACAGTTCATGAGAATCTAGGGAGAGTGCTGTGGTCACTGGATTTCTGTTTCTACTTCTTCAGTCAACAGTCCTCTGGGGAATCCACTCACTCCATTTACTGCTGTCAAAGCAAACCCTTGCTTTGGCATCAAACCCCAATCGTGTTATTTTTAAGAAAATAAAGAAAGAAAAGAATAACAACATTGAGTGCCTAGGTTTTTAAAACTTATCTCATATTTAAAGTATTTGTAGGGACTTCAAACCTACACATGAACCTTCATTTTTAAAATTTATTTTCTATTCTCTTAATTTGGTTTTGATTCCAGTTTTGAATGAGTACCTTGCCTTCCCTCTGGAACGCAGCCTGCATTTTTATAGCCAAGGGTTTCTTAACCGACGATCACCAGCCACCACCCCACTCCCCCATAACTAAATGCATGATTATATGAGTATATATAGTTTTCTTAAAAACCAGAGAAAAGCTCCACTCTCAAAAGGCATTCATGAATCAAAAAAGATAAAGGACCAGGTCTACATCCCATGGCCTGATGGGTGTGGGATGCTGCTTAACCTTACCCTTGATGGCGATCCATGTGAAGACAGGGTGCCTTTCAGTCCTCCATCCACATTCGACATTGAGCACTCTCTTCCAAAGTGCATGGCAAGAAGTTACCTGATTGAGTCTTCTCCTTTCTGTCTGGACAATTACACAGACCCAGGCTGGGTTTCCCTGGGGCTGCTTGGGTACCTGAGCACCAACAGACGAGATGGCAGTAGAGAAAGATTAGACCCCTCCCCAATGAAATCATGCACTGGGCTCGGCCCCAAACATTTCAGCGTTAGCAACACCTTGTTAATATTTCCATGATAAATGCTCCAGTTCTCTGAGCAGTTCCTGAGCTTTAAGCCTGTGCTAAAGCCGCACGGACTTTCTCACATAACCCTTCAACAGTTCTGGGGGGTGGGCGTTGATCCCCCCAGCCCCATCCCCCACCCAGCTTCCAGGTGATACAGCTGAAGCTTAGGTAGTGATACACATCACTCAGCCTGAGTGGTGGGGATGCGCCCTCAGGGCTCCTCTCACCAAACCTGTGCTGATGATCGTTTGGCTCTTCTGCCTACACTGATTTCTCATCTCTCTCTCTCTCTGGTTCCCAGCCATTCCCATTAAAAAATAATTCATTTCAGGTGAGCTGTCTAGAGCAGATGGTCACTTTTAAAAACTGTACCAATGTAATTACAATGCACTGATATATAGTAGCATATGCCAACAGTGGTGGAATGCTTTGTTTTTGTTCTTACTACTTTAAAAGATCTTTTCCCCTGATATATTGCTAACAAAGGCTATTCTCATGCTGACTACTGTCTCCACTGCTCCCCTCACCCCGAGTCCTTTCTCAAAACAGCTTTAAATCTTTCTACCTGGGCTTCGGGACCCAGGGCTGGTGGTTACCTCCAGTTACTGGCCTGTCCTCTGTTTCCATTTTTATTGCTATGAAATCTTATATATTCCTCTATTTTGGTAGGAGAGAACCAAACTAAACATTCTTATAACTTCATCCACCCTTTAAAAAAATCAGTGTCAAGTGACTGTCCAGCTTTTGAAGCTTTAATTCCCCCCACCCCCACCTCACTCTGTTTATATTACTTAGAAATGCTGGTCTCACCCCACACTCCATCTTTGTTATACCCCTGATTCTTTTTCTCCACTGATTTATATGTGTAATTACATCAAGGTTGAGAAGTGCAGAATTGTTGGAGACCCTGGCTGAAGGTCCTGTGCTCACCTTCAGGAAACGACAAACCACCAATAGCGTTGTTTAAGCTCTGTGTTGAGGAAAGCCTAGTAAGGGGTTGTTTTCTCTGTCCCAGGGGTTCCAGTTTCTCTATGCAGTTTGGGGCCCGATCTCATTG